CCACGCCGGGGCCATCAAAAGCACCCCCGTAGAGAGAGCGGTCACCCCGCCAGGGCAGGTCCCGTTACCTGCCTGGGAGCGTGTGCGCCCTGCCCTGCCCCGGCCCACCTGGGCCTCCGGAGAGGCAGCACCTTGGTCTGACGTCTGAGTTCCGGCAGCTTCCGAAGTTCGGCGTGGCCTGTGCCTGGGTGTTTTCTCCACGTGGCCTGCCCTCGGACTCCCACGTAGCTTCACACAACGGCTGAGGCCGCCTCCGCGGGAGGGCTGGTCACCTCTGCCAGCGCTGGCCGGGTCTGGCCTGTGTTCCTGGGGCGGTTGTCGGCGGTCGGGCCGAGCCTCGCCGTGTTAGAGAGACGGCGGCGCGGTGGCCGCTGAGCGCCGCCCTCTGACCCCTCACAGACATTCCCGAGGGCCAGCCCTCTGTGAGCGCTTTGATGTGAGCACCGGGTAATCGTTTCTGACACCGAGCGTGAATTCGTCCCTTTCCTGAGACCTGCCCCTCCCGGCGTCTGGTTCCGCGGCCCCGGCGCTGAAATCGGACCCGCCCGGCCTGCCGGGGATCGTGTGCAGCCGGCTCAAAGGCCCGAGAAACGCGAGCGCTTCTTCGCAGGGCCGAGCGCTTTGTGCGCACACAAAGGCTGCCTGAGCTGCTGGGGCGGGCTGCGCTCAGGAAAGAGAATACGCGGGGGGTTGGGGGGAAAGGGGCCGGACCCCAGTGAGGACGCCTGGATCAGGAACCCGGATCTGCATGGCGGGGGCCCCCTCGGGTACGGCCTTGCTGCTTGGTGGCGCTGCGGGTTTCTTCTCAGGTGGCAGCAGGAGTGAGCGTGGTGGCCTGTCCTCCCCAACCCTGTTCCCACCTGCCCTGGGGTGCCTATGCCGGCCAGGGCTGCACCGGCGGCCGGGAGATGGCACCACCCGCTGGCCCTGCTGGCCGTTGTCACCTCCGGCCCATGCGTGTCGTGCCTGCTTTGCTTCACCCCTGGGTGTCCGAGCCTGGGGCTGGGTGTGTTCCCTGCAGGGGCTGGGGCCCCTGGGCCTGGCCAGCTGCCTCCCAAGGCACAGCTGCACCCCAGGGACAGATGCTTGGGTCGCCAGCGCCTCTGCTGCACTGGGCCCGCCCGTCCTGGGCCCGGCACCTTCTAACGAGGGACCTGGAGAGAAGCTTGGACGCCCCACTTGGCCTCTTCGTCCCCACGATGTCCTTCCCTTCCGTGTGAATATGTGGCAAACGTTAAAATTCATCTGCAAGACCTCGGGGACGTTCGTCTTGTCATGTTCTTTGTTCCTCCTCCTGCACCATTGTCGCCAGCGCGGATCGGCAGGCCCCAGAGCGCTTCTCTGCCAGCTCCCCGTCTCTGCCCTGGGCGCCGGATACACGGCTTTAACAGCTTTCTCTTTGCAAAACTCGAAGCCGGGCGCAGTGGCTCATGCTGTGGCCCCAGCGCTTTGGGAGGCCAGAGCGGGAGGATCACTGGAGGCCAGGAGTTTGAGACCAGTATGGGCAACACAGCGAGACCCCGTCTCTACAAAGAAAAGACGAATATATATAAAACTCGAGAGGGCGGGTCTCTGAAAGCCCGGTGCTGTCGCGACCTCCTGGTTTCCTCTTTGCTGGTTTTCCCAGACTGAGCGGCAGTCCCCGCAGCGCCCGGTCGGCCCCATCTCTGCGGACCTGCCCGAGCTGGATGTTTCATACGGTCGTAGCTCTGATGTCTGACGTGTCTCGGTGTGCGTTGGTGCTCACCTACTCTGCGGGGCCGAGTAATGTCCCACGGCGTGGACGGACCGCAGTTTGCTTGCCGCGCATTGGGGGACAGCTGGTGGCCCCACCTTCGGGGAGCTGGGACCCGTGCTGCCGTAGACACGCACGAAGGAGTCTGCGTTCGAGTCTCTGTTTTCAGTTTCCTTGGGCGTGTGCCTGGCAGTGGGGCTGCCGCTGCTCTACTTTGGGGGGGGCCCACCCCACGTCCTGCGTCACTGGCAGTATCGTGTCCCTGCCACCAGCTGCCCGCCCTCGCCGGCCGACCACACAGTGGGTCTCAGCACGTGTGAGACAGACCGGCCCGGAGCCGGGGTGTTCTGACCCGAGGGCCCCACTCGGCCCCTCACCTGGGGGCAGTGGGAGAAGGGGGAGGCGGCGTTGGGGCCCTGGGACTGTCACCCTGAGGAGTGGGGACAGGCCTACGCCCACGCGGGTTCTCTCGCCACTCTGCTCCTCTGTGTCCCTCCCCCGGATCTTCCCATTCTCCACCCACGGGCGTTTCGATCCTCGGCCAAAAGGCGTTCCGTGTTGGAGCGGCCGTGGCCCTGCCTGGGAGCGGGGGTCGGTGGTGCCCGCCGGGTGATGGCAGTCTGAGCCCACCTTCCAGAAAGTCCCGCCTGCTGCTCGCGTTACAGACGCCGGGCCGAACAAATGTGGATTATGTTCTCCCGTCTCCCGCCTTGCAATTCTGTTCGAATCTCGTAGCTCTGGGCGTCGATTAGGCGCCGAGGTTTACAACTGCAGCTTTGCAAATAGCAGCTTAGTTTCATGAAAGCTTCCCAAGTATAAATGCTGTTTACGGCCTTCCTCCAGGGCCACACACCCATCCCCAAGAATGTAAATTACGAGCTGTGAGGATAATGCAGGGCTAGCAGGCGCGGGAGGGTCTCCTTTCCCGGTTGCACCTTGCACTTAAGCGGCCGTAATGGGCACTTCCGCGTGTTTTCCACGGTGCGCTGCTGTGACAGATCGAGCGCCTTTCTTCTGCCTGCCGCTTAGCCAAACGTGAAATCACCGAGCAGATAGCCTGATAGGGTACCAGGCGGCCTGGTAGAAGCCTCCCTTGGGTTTACCTGAGAATGGTTTGTGGGAAACTTGGATCTAAGTTGACGTCACCCTGCGAGTCCCTGTAATATAGAGAAGGTGGGTATTCTGGTTTGGAACTCCTGACCCTGAGCAATCCGCCCACCTCGGCCTCCCAGAGTGCTGGGATTACAGGCGTGAGCCACCGCGCCCGGCCTGAGGGTGGGTGTTCTCATGTTAAATCCTTGTCTTGTACACAGAGAAACTGAGGTTCAGTGATAGGTCCTGCCTAGGTGAGATGCTTGGGCAAGGGGGGAGTGGAGGTCTCAGCTGCGGGGCCTGCGTCCAGCTGTGCACTGCACAGCTCGCCAGGGTACTGCCTGGTGTACAGGGTCCCCTGTAGTCACACATCTTGGCCATCTGGTGAACTCCTGTTAGAAGTTCCGTGTCCTTTGCTCACGCCAATAATCCTAGCTCTCTGGGAAGCTGAGGCGGGAGGATTGCTCGAGGTCAGGAGTTCGAAACCAGCCTGAGCAAGAGTGAGACCCCGTCTCTACTAAAAATATAGAAAGAAATTTATTGGCCAACTAAAAATATATATAGAAAAAATTAGCCGGGCGTGGTGGCGCATGCCTGTAGTCCCAGCTACTTGGGAGGCTGAGGCAAGAGGATCGCTTGAGCCCAGGAGTTGGAGGTTGCTATCAACTAGGCTGACACCACAGCACTCTAGTCCAGTGACAAAGTGAGACTCTGTCTCAAAAAAAAAAAACAAAAAAAGAAGTTCCATGTCCTGCCTTTCAGCCTGGTGTCCCTAACCAAATGGATACTTTATTTCTGTTAAAAACTGAAGATTTCTTTTTGAATGATCTGTGTGGTTGTTATTTCCCTATTAAACAACATCAAAGATGGTTTAATTCTACACTTTTACAATTTCCACGTTATCATAAAGAAGCTTAAGGTTGCGTCACATTATAAGCTCAAACTGACCCCAGAGCTCTCAAGGGGACACCCCATCCCCTGTAGGGGGGCCCTGCTGGCACTGGGAGGAGAGGTGCTCTGGGCGGGAGCAAGGAGCCGCCACGTGTCGTGTGCCGCTGAGGCCCGGTGGCACGTCCCTCGAGTTCCGGTTCATCTTCGCGGTCACCACCGGTGTCCATCCTGTTGCCCAGGTTGTGCACCTGAGGAACGAAATCCAGTTGCTTTGCCCAGAACGTTGAGACCCCCACACCCAAGTTACGGGGCTGGCAGGAGTGGCGTGGAATCTCGCCAATTTGCCATCAGGAAGGTGTCTGAGGGCTTTCTGGGTGGACGCACTCGGTGTCCTGGGAGGGGCTGGCCAGGCGCTGGGACCCTGAGGGTCCCTGCAGCACGCGGGCCCCTCCCTGGCCAGCACCCCACAGCCTCCCGGAGAAGGGAGAGGCTTCACCCCCGTCGCTGATTCCAGAAGGAGCTCTCTCGTATGCAGCCGTGGGACGGGCTCCTGGCTGGGACGGGGAACACCACGCCTTCGGGGGGGGGGCACTGGGCCATCTGTGGCTGGGCAGTGGCATCATGGGGTCCGCACCCCAGAAACACGCGGTGGGGTGAGCAGGAGTCGCGGTGTGGGGACGATGGCACAGATGTGCACAAGGAGGGGTCTGGGGCTCTGGGGTTGGCCGCCCGGACAGGGGCTGCAGACTGAGCGGTTTAAACAGCAGGCTTTGTCTCTCCGGTTCCCGGAGGTTAGAAGTCTGAGGTGTGGGCGTGGGCAGGGCCCTGCCCCTTAAGGCTCATCACGAGGGTCCTTCCGGCCTCTTCCCAGCTCTTGGTGGCGGCGGGCAGTCCTCGGCGTTCCACAGCCGGTAGACGGTGGCTCCGGCGTGTGCCTCCGCTGTCACTCGGTGTTGGTCTCTGTGTCTCTGTGCCTGTCCTCTTAAAGGACACCAGTCACCTCGGGTTAGGGCCCACCCTGCTCGGGGGCGACCTCATCTTAGCTAATTGCACCCCCAAGGGCCCCGTTTCCAGATAAGGCCACATTCCCAGCTCCTCCTGGGAGGGGCAGAGATTTGTGGGGACACCGTGCAACCCAGCACAGCTGGCTTGGGGAGCTAATCTGAAACACGGCCTGGGGCTCCCGGCCCCTCGTCCCCCAGCCGCTGTCCGCGGGGGATGTGCGGGGTGGGGGTCCCGGGTGGGGAAAACACCGACGCCGTCTGTGCTTTCTCTCCCGCAGCCCAACATCGGCCGCCTGGGCCTGCCCCACGGGCCGTCCGGGGAGAAGGTGGCCGTGGTGACGGTGGACGACTGTGACACGGCGGTGGCCGTGCGCTTTGGGAGCTACGTGGGGAACTACAGCTGTGCCGCCCAGGGCACGCAGAGCGGCTCCAAGAAGTGAGCATCCCGGGGTGGGCTGGGCTGGGCGTCCGCGCCCGCACGTGGGGTCCCCGTGCCGCCTTCCCAGCAAGGCCCCGACTCGGGCACTCTGGGCCCAGCACCCCAGTGCAGGCTGGAGTCAGACTCCCTCCCCGTGGTTGGGGGGAGGCCTTCCCTCTGACGTGTTGGAACCTTCCAGAATAAGTCCCCTTAGAGGTATGTGTCAAAGCGGGGAGTGGCCGGGCTGACCCCAGGGTTGCGACAGCCGGCCGGGGGACCCACTCCTTTCTCGGGAGGATCGTGGAGGGCAGCGCTGTGCTCCCCGTCCGGCTTAAGTGTGGGCTGGCCCCGGGGCAGGCAGGACTCCGTGAGGGGTCGCTGGTTAACTGAAACGTCCAGCGTGTCGGGACATGACTCGAGTGTGAGGAAACTGAGGCACAGAGAGGCCTGAAGAGCCAGCGGTGGCCCCAGCAGCAGGGTCGGCCTTTGGTCCTGGCCTCCGCCCGCCTGCCCCGCTCCCTGTTCTGTCACCAACGCGTTTCTGGCGGCAGAGCCCACGGCTGCCTCTTGCCACGGGGACGTCACAGAGGACGGCTTTGTCCCCCCAGGTCCCTGGATCTCACGGGGCCGCTGCTTCTGGGGGGCGTCCCCAACCTGCCGGAGGACTTCCCGGTGCACAACCGGCAGTTTGTGGGCTGCATGCGGAACCTGTCGGTGGATGGCAAGAACGTGGACATGGCTGGATTCATCGCCAACAACGGCACCAGGGCAGGTAGGGATGGCGGCCAGAGGGTTGGGGCGGCCACGTGGGAGAGGGCCACGAGCACGTCCCTGGGAGCCATCTTTCCTCTAGAAGATTTGTGCCCAGCTGTGGGCGGCTCCTGGGAGCGGAGCCCAGAGTCCGGGCTCACTGCAGGTTGCCGTGGCACTGCTGGGCCAGCCAGTCTGGGACACACACCGTCCACATGTCCCCAATATGGCCAGGCCCCCCGCTGAGATGTCCTGGAGACCTGGCGTCTCCTGATGTGGGCCTGGGTCCAGGGCCGTCCCAGGCCTCACGTCCTTACTGCTGCCCCAGGCTTTCGGGCTTGGCCACCTTCTTGGTGGCCCACCTGGGACCAGGGACGGTTCCTGCCCGTCAGGCCCTGCCGTGTGCTGTGCGTTTTCAGGCTGTGCTGCTCAGCGGAACTTCTGTGACGGGACCTGGTGTCAGAACGGGGGCACCTGCGTCAGCAGGTGGAACACGTACCTCTGCGAGTGTCCGCTCCGATTCGGCGGGAAGAACTGTGAGCAAGGTGAGCGCCTGGCGGCCCGGGAGGCCTTGCTCTTGGGCATTGGGATCCCTGGGACCACTTGTGAGGGGCTTCCCCTCCGGGGCCAGCAGCCTCTGGCGGGGCACTGTGTTTACTACAGACTCTTGCCGTCCTCTCCAAGGGCCGCCCCTGCAGACCCCTGCTCCTGTCCCAGACTTTCCAGCCCCGCAGGTGTGGGGCAGGACAGGTAGCTGGCAGGGCCTGTACCTGGTGTCCCATCTGCTGAGCCCAGGGCCCCAAGCCTTCCCCCACTGCCTCCCATCCAGCCAGAAAGCCCCTTGCCTCCCCCGGCTGTGGATGGGAGCCCATAAGGCTTCACCTCGGGTCCCAGAGTGGGCTTCTGCAAGGCCCGGGGCTGCTGGATCCAGAGGGCGGGTGACAGACAGATGGACGTCTCAGACCAGCCTTTGCATTAAAATATAGAAGGCCCAGGACACCCCCCTCCCTGGGCACGTCCCCCTCCCCGGGGGCAGAACGAGATTCTCAGAGGCCTGATCCTGAGGGTGCCTGTGTCCGCAGCCATGCCCCACCCCCAGCGCTTCAGCGGCGAGAGCATAGTGTCCTGGAGCGACCTGGACATCACCATCTCCGTGCCCTGGTACCTGGGGCTCATGTTCCGCACCCGCAAGGAGGACAGCGTGCTGATGGAGGCCACTGCCGGCCTGTCCTCCAGGCTCCAGCTGCAGGTGAGCGGACCCCGTGCCCCACTCCACCCCCGGAGCGCCTGCGGGGCAGGTGGATGCCCAAGGGTGGGCCCAGGCACCGGTGCTTCCTCCGGGGAGGCCCGCCCTGCACCCCGGCTTCTCCAGTGGAACAGGGGGACCCTGAGTGGCTCTTTCAAGTGGCGGCGCAGTCATGTCTGGAAAAGCGCTGGTGGCAGGAAAAGCACAGGATGACAGCGCAGCCACACAGTCCCGCCGGGGTCCTTCTAGCACTTTCTTCCCTCCGGGAGATGAGCAGGGATAAGGGGGATGAGGAGGATGAACACAGAACACAAAAGAAAGACACAGACACACAAAGACAGTACATGACTCAAGTGCCGAATGCACTGGTCAGTTTATTTTTATACACTAAAAAATCAAAGTTAGTTCCTTATACGTGACCACCCAGGCATTATAGCAATGGCCAAAAATTCCAGAACACAGTAGCCTAAGGACACAGATGTCCCCTGACTCAAGGTGTCCAGGCGGTTGCCAGGCATAGATCATGGACCGAGATTAGCAAGGTTGGGCAAGGCAGCCACAGTTAACCAGCCATCTTATGGGGCCAAGCAGCAATCCTAGGAACAATGTGTTTATCGTGTGGCCTTCAGACCCCCACTGCCGTGGGGCTGGGTATCCCTTGCCTTAGTGCATAAACTCAGGTCCTTTGTTATGCCTCTAGGCAGCAACCTTGTTTGTCACAAGGACCCGGTCCGGAACACATTACTCTCAAACGCTCTGGGCAGAGCATGCACATTACTCACTAAATTTAATTCTTAAACCAGGAAAGTATAATGTCAGTCCCCAACAAGGGGGTGCCCGCCCGGCATGGAGGTTCCTGGAGGCCCCGGCGTGGCCCTTCCCCGTGTGCTCTTCTTGGTCTTTACTGTGTGTGTGTGTTTGACACATGAGATGAGAGTTGCTAAAAACTTACAAAAGATTATTCTAATGCACTCCATTCTCTGGTTTTTTGTGTCACAAATAACTTCCACTCACAGAATCTTCCAAGCTCCATGGACATTTCATTTGAGAAACAATGAAAACTTCCTTTAATTTGCAAAAAAAGAAAGTCCTGGTCTACTTTCATCTGGCTGCCCCGTGCCTCTGGCAGTCTCTACGGGAGGTCAGGCGGAGGGAGTCCCACTTCCCAGGCCTGGGGTTCGGAGAATCTGCAAACGTGGGAGACTCTGGCCCGTGGGTGCCACGCCTGCGGCTCGCCCTCCTGCCTGCATATCTACAGGGACAGATGTTTGTTGTCCTGTAAACCCTGCGGTCCGGGACCCTGTCCAACCAGGGCTAAGCTCTAAGACACACCAGGCGGTTCTCCCTCCTGAAAAGCTCCCTTTGTGACTCCTTAGACCTAATTCATCCCCACGCTCAGGAGTGCCCTGTGGGAGTCACCCTGAGCAAGGTGCTTCGTCTCGATGCGAAGGAATTCTGTAACTGGGTTGTTCCTTCCTTGCTTCTAGGCTTTTTCCCAAGTATGTATATGTGTGTGCGTGCACGTGTCTGTGTCTGTGTGTGCATGTCTCTTGTGTGTATGTGTGCATGTCATTGTGCACATGTGTCTCAGTGTGTGTGTACGTGTGTGTGCATGTCTGTGCAAGCATGTCTGTGTGCACATGTCTGAGTACATGTGTGTCTGTGTGTATGTGTGTGTGCATGTCTGTGCATGCATGTCTGTGTGCACGTGTCTGAGTACGTGTGTGTCTCTGTGTGTGTACGTGTGTGTGCATGTCTGTGCATGCATGTCTGTGTGCACGTGTCTGAGTACATGTGTGTATCTGTGTGTCTGTATTTGTGATGAGACCTGGGTGCGCGGGGCTTAGAGTGGCACTGACGTCCTTCACCCGGGTGGTTCATTGTCTCCAACCGAGTGAGCCTGGGGCTCCCTCCCTTCGTCACAGGAGTTGCTGCCCTTAGCTCAGCCTCCTCTCTCGCCTTGGGGCCAGACCACGCCGGAACGTGCGCCCCGTCATCCTAGCATGGCCCCAACAGGTGTACAGCAGCTGCCCCTGGTCCCCCCTGCCATCACCTGTGCATCCTTGTAGAGCTGTTCCTCATTTCCTTCACTCCCGTGGGCCCTGGGACTTCTTGTTTTGCTCAGTGCAGAGTGGACTTAATTCCTGGTCTGGGGAAACTGAGGCCTGGGGACTCTGCACTCCAGGCTCCATGGTCCACTCGTTGCCCAGGTTCCTGGGATGGCCACGGTCCCTCTCCTGTCGGCCCTGTGGACGGCCCGTCCGCAGGCACCTGTGTGGCTGAGTCTGATACTGGTGTGGGGGATGGGCAGAGCAGGGCCGGCACCTCCCTGCGCCGTGGGCTCCTATGGGAGGCCAGCAGGGGCGGGACCCCGAGTGCCGTCAGCGGGCTGTGCAGACCCCTCAGCAGGTCAGGCAGCACAGGCCCCCGAGGCGAGGAGCGGTGGGGCCCGAGAGCCCAGGCAGGACGCCGCTGTCCTTCCCCACGTCACGGCTCGGGAGCATTTCCCAGCACGGGCTCAGTTGGAGCGCGGGGAGGGTGCAGCGTGCACGTCAGGATAATTACAGCTGTCATTGTTTCCCTCGTTAGCTCGTAATTTCCTGAGTTTGCCAGGCGGTCCCGGCAGGTCGCGCTGGGCCCAGACTTGGCGAGCACGATTCTGCTCGGGGATGGCGTTTTTCTCTGTGGGGTTTTACTATCGGAACAAATTAAATTGGCTGTTTTCAATTCAGGTGATGAATTGGAGCTCGCAAGTTGTCATTTGGCAGTGGGGTCTCTGTAGGAAAACGCCCGCCTTCGGTGGAAACAGCACCGAGAAACACAAACTCCTGAATTGTGTGAGTGATTACATTATGGGCGGCTCATCCAAATGTTAAGGTGTTTTGTTTTTTTTTCTTGCCAGGGACTAGAGCCAGCTCTCCCTGTGGGAGTCTGGGTGGCTGGAGTGGTGGCCTGGAGGGGACCCTACAGACCCCAGTGGGCACCCAGAGGCCCCACAGGGCAGTTCCCAGAGGCTGGTTGGCTGAGCATTGCAGGAAAGTTCCAGATGGTTTCTTCTTTTTGACATATTCAGCTTGCAGGCCACCTGCAGGCCCCGTGAGTTCTATGGTGCAGAGGTTTGGGTGTTCCTGGCATGTCCCCGCGGTGGACCAGAAAAGGCTACGTCGTCATCCTGCAGCCCAGGCAATTTGGATAATTGCTCTTAGTCGCCCTAAATCCACCTGCATTGTCACCTGGGATAACTTTGCTGTTGTTGATTGCCTCTCCTAAATCCAGCGACAGACCTACGGTGGGAGGCAGTCACTGCCCGGGGTCCTGGCGTTCGTTCTGCAGATAGCGCTTTTGTTTGTAGACGTGACGTCATCTTTATCGTGGATCTGCTTGCTTCGGAGCTTTGTTGGCAAGGACGATGGAAGAGAACGGGCGAGAGAAGTTAATGGGTTGATTTAAACCGCTGTAGTGCGAGAGGAAACAAAATGTAAAACAGTGAAAAGTTATCTTAAAACGACTCTCAGTAGAGACCAAAAATCAAAGTACGTTTTTAGTTACATTTACAATCAGTTAAAAACTGGTTCCTATTTTCCGTCATTTATCTGATACCTGTGGGGCATTCAGAAGTATGTTTCTGAGTCAGCCCACGGGTGGCGTTCTCTAGCAAATGGTTTGGGTATTGTTTCTAGCATAGCCAAACCTCAGAGCACACTCTGGATGGTTTCGTAGCTGTGAAAAGCGCCGAGACTTGCTTTGCAGCCCAGATCTCGTCCGTTTTTGTAATGCCCCTTGTGTGCCTGGAAAGGACGTACCCTGCACTTGTTATGCGTCGCGTTCTGTGTGTGGCAGGTAGGTGAGTTTCGTCAACTGTTATGTTCGGATTTTCTACATCATTATGGAGTTGTTGTTTTTTTTTGTTTTCTCCGTCACGGGAGAGGGAAGTTAAATACAAATCTCCAAACTTGGTTGCATATTTATCTATTCATTCTTTTGATAATCTGTTGGTTTTCGCCTTATAGATTTCGAGGCTGTGTTATTAGGTGCGTATCAATTTAGAATTGTTGTATCTTCCCAGCAAATTCACTGTTACCATTATGAAAATCTCGTTTATCTCCGGTAATGTTTTTTGTGTTGGAGTCTACTTTGTTTCATATTAACACAGCTATACCAGTTTTCTTTTGTTTGGTGTTTACACGACGTGCTTTTTCCATACTTTTACTTTCAACATTTTCCATATCTTTGTGTTTCATGTGTATCTTTTAAGCCGTGTGTTAATAGTTTTTTTTTTTTTTAATGCACTCTGTCTTTTAGTTGAAGTTATATTTAAATATGAGTATCTTAGGTCAGTTACAATCTTGTTTTCTTATTTTTATTACTTGTATTTATACACGATAGACTCTTATCTCATGAAATGTAACACTTAAACGCAAAAACAAGGGTCCAGTGGTCACCTGAATCTGTTCCCTTTCAAGTTTTGTGGTTCTCCTTGTCATTTCAAAGTCTGTGCCTGGTTCAGATATCTGAGTGCCCCCCGGGTCTGTTTCCACTCTTCCTCACTTCTCTTGGTTTTCAAGCATACTGTCTTGTCTCCTCATCCTGGGCTCGGTTATTTTTGATCATGAGCTGGACATTGTACTGAAAAACTAGAACCCGAAACTAGGATGGGGGTGTCGTGTGCTGCGTGTTTGCTTCCGGCAGCCAGCTGCGTGCACTTCCTCCCAGCACGCTTCAACACGGTCACGGACCGAGATGGCTCAAAGCTGGGCTTCCTGTCCCGGGGGCCCGCCTGTTTCTCGTTTGCTCTTAGTGTACAGCCTCGCAGGGTCCCAACCCAAAGCCAAGGCACTAGAGGTGCCCCCCACCCTCGGCAGGCTTGAACTCCTGTTCCCCTCGTCCCGTGTGCCTGGGAAGCTGCACTCAGCTTTTCTGCCGCAGCCGTGTCTTCCAGACCGGCCGAGCACCCTGGGGCCACAGCCCCCCTCTGCAGGCTTCCGTTTTCTCCCGAGTCATGACCCTGAAACTCGGTTTTGCTTTGAGCCACTCAAGTGCCTTCCCGCATATATTCTTTACTGTTTTGTCTCACTTTTGTAGTCTTTTCAAGAGGAAGGTTGGTCCCACAGCCCAGTCCTTCTAAAACCCTGACATCGCCCTTGGCTACGTTATTTTAAAATATATATCTTGGCCAGTTGCGTAGCACTTGAGCATCTTGGCCAGTGGCAGTGCTGTTTTGTTTTTTTCAGACATGTAATTAAACACGGAGGGTTGAATCTTGTCTCCTAAAGTGTAACACGTACGTCCAAGAACGAGAGCTCAGCAGGCACCCGAGTCGGTGGTGCTTCCTCCAGTGCCCGAAAGTCTAACGGGGTTTGTTCTCGGTCCTCCCCTCTGATCTCTGTCAAAAATTGGATACTTTTTAGCATAGACTAAGGCGTGCAATTCTGATGAGCGCTGAAGGCAAGAAGAACAAATTAAAACTTTGTCTGATTTTTAGACCCGTCTTTGATCGGGCGTGGCATCGTGGGTCTGCCAGGTGGCTTCCTCACCTGAGTGATCAATTGCAAAGCACTCTCTGTTTCGCTGTCTTTGCGCCGACTCGAGGTGTGGCCGTCCTTGTCCTGCAGATCCTGAACAGCTACGTCCAGTTTGAGGTGTCCCACGGCCCGGCCGATGTGGCCTCCATGAGGCTGTCCAGGTCACGCGTGACCGACGGGGCGTGGCACCACCTGCTGATAGAGCTGAAGAGTGCCAAGGACGGCAAGGACATCAAGTACCTGGCGGTCATGACCTTGGACTACGGGATGGACCAGGTGAGCTGGCCCCTGCACACCCTTTGGAACAGACCCTTCCCCAGGCCCACGGGAAAGCAGAACGACCCCTCCATGTGGCAGCGACCGCCTGGATTGGGAGCCGCACTGTCTGTCCCGCAGCCCGGGCCTACGTCCTACCTTGTGCTGAGGTCACTGGTGTGTGTGTCGCAGCCGTGACAGGACAGTCGGCTCCTGCAGGCGGGAGCTGGACTTTGCCTGTCAGTGTTTCCCATCGTGGTGCCGTCGGCGGCTCCAGTAGCCGTTGCTGTGAGCAAAGCTGCTCGAGCAACGACTGAGCTCAGCACCCTGCCTTTGGGGTAGGGACAGAGATACAGGGACCCGTGCATGCTCTTGGGGTATGACGCCGGGCAGCAGCGAGACTAGGTCCTGGAGAGGGCAGTGGGACACCTGGGGGGGGGGGTGCACCTGTCCAGGCAGGCAGGTGGCCTTCCCGACGGTAGACTCAGAACGCTTGGTGGACCAAACTGGTTTCCATAGTTTGCAGCCAGGTAACTCGAGACATCTTCGTGAGACGCCCACACGCTTACGGGGCTACCTGTGATTCCCAGGAGCTCTCCGAGCCGAGGCTCGGCTTACACGACGGTTCTGGGCACAAGTGGCCGTTGTGTTCCAGGCACTGCCCTTCTGGGGGTGTGTGCTGGCCGAGGCGCTCTTAGATTCCCACAGTGTTAACAAAAGGGGGTGTCTCCGCTTGCTGCCATCTTCCTGGTCTGCTGGGCTCTTTGTCACATGGGGTCTCTAGTGGTTCCCCGTGATGGAGGTGGAGATCACCTGTGCTTCCCCGCAGACCACCTTGCTGGGCTGGGGTGTGGACGTCTGTCCTCCAGCCTGGTCCCCTCCCCCACCCATCTGGCCAGGGCCTTCCTTGGAGGCCGGAATGCCCTCAGGCTCCGGGGAGTTTGTCCAAGCGACTGTTGTAGCCTTCCAGCACCTTCTTCCCAGCCGGAAGGTGTTCCAGGTGGCGGGTGTGGCCCCATTGCCCGTCTCCCCTCTCCCTGCACAGAACACGGTGCAGATCGGGAACCAGCTTCCTGGGCTGAAGATGAAGAGCGTCATGGTCGGGGGCGTGTCTGAGGACAAGGTCTCCGTGCGCCGTGGGTTCCGGGGCTGCATGCAGGTACGGCCGGGCGGGCGCCCCTCGCAGGTGCACTGGGCCGGTGCCGCAGGTGGTCCAGTCCGTCCACCTGTCAGTTTGCAGGAGGAAACACGTTGTTTGTTTCACGGAGTCCCACCCCCCACGGGGGCTCCCCTGGCCCCCCATGTTCCTCCACCTGCCCCAGCCCTGCACACTCACCCCAACGGCCCATGCTGTCCCCTGGATTGTGTGACCAGCAGCCCAGCAAGCCACCGATGGAGCAGCTCTGCCTGCAGCAGAGAAACAACCCCCTCCCACTGCCACCCCCTCGCCCCAGGGGATTCCCGACCCCCTCCGTGCCCAGGTCCCCCCCCTCTCCCCTGCACTCCCGCCACCAGGCTGTGGGGGAGAGAGGAGTGTCCCCAGCAATCCCAGCTCTGTAGACAAACTCGGCATCACGTGGGAGACACCTCACAAGGGACCAGAGAGATCTTGGGGCTCCCTTGTCCCTCACTGACCTTCCGGGGCTCCTCTAGACCCGACGCCCCAGAACTGAGTCTGGACGCCCTTCGTTTAACTCAGGGAGTGAGGATGGGGGAGACGGCCACCAACGTCGCCACCCTGAACATGAACGACGCCCTCAAGGTCAGGGTGAAGGACGGCTGTGAGGTGGAGGACCCCTGCGCCTCTAGCCCCTGCCCCCAGCACAGCCGCTGCCAGGACGCCTGGGACAGCTACGCCTGCGTGTGCGACAGAGGTGGGCCCGCCTGCCCCCGGCGCCCAGCAGCAGTGGCGCTGCCCGTGGTGGTTGCAGTACGGGAGGAAAAAAGGGGGTGCCAAGTCAGGGCGCCCCTTCCCCAGCCGGCTCTCTGCACTCTGTGCCGCCTGCACCTTGTTTTATAAGGGGCCTCTCTTCCCACGGTGGGTCCCCGTCCTCTTCCTCGTCTAGGGCACGAGGACGCTCCGGCCTTTATCCTCATTGCGCACAATGAGATCAGCAAAAAATTAATGGAAAGAGCACATTTTAAAAGCCATGCATGTGGGGGTCACCTCTGACTTTTTCAGGGGTGTGGAGTCACCCTGGGCTGGTGCCTGTGCCCCAGGCGTCCCGGGGCGCCCTCCGCTCTGCACCGCCACGCCCCACCCCCTCCCTGCGTGTGTGTCCCATGACTGGGAGCCACATCCCCGACCCCCCCCCCAGCACCACGGAAGGCGGGTCCCGGGAAAGCGGCAGGGGGAGGGGAGCTGACGTAGGGGACTCTTGCAAATTCTGGGTGGGCATGATGCCGGCCGTGTCCCCACAGGCTACTTCGGAAGAAAGTGCGTGGACGCGTGCCACCTGAACCCCTGCGAGCACGTGGCGGCCTGCGTGCGCGCGCCCGGCTCCCCGCGGGGCTACGAGTGCGCATGCGGGCCCAGCCACTACGGGCGCTACTGCGAGAGCAGGTGAGGCCCCGCACCCCGCGGCCACTCCTCCCCGCGCGCCGCTGTCTTCTCTGCGTTATTTTTACCCAAAGATGCACGTGGTTCTGGATAAACGGGGGCGTATCTTTTTTTCAAATTTGGCATGAAATGAACAAGAATCAAACTGGGCGTCTCGGGCTCACCCCATCGGCACGTCCACCCCGGAAACGGGCAGGGCGGCTCGCATTTCTTAGGGGACCCTGCTGCGCCCAAGGCAGACAGGTGCGGGGAGATGTAGGAAGGTGGGTGTCACTTACAGGGGACACGCCCGCTGTCTTGTCAGTGGGTCTCTGACGTGCACGAGACTCCAGCATGTTCTCGGGCTCCCGGGTGCCATTTGGGCACTAGGGGGTCGCTGCGCGGGGAGCGCAGGTGTGCCGTGATTACAGAGGAGTCGCCTTCTCCGAGGTGAAGCCGCTTGGTTCTTTGCAAACCAAGACTCAGGCCCCTTTGGAGGAGGGGTGGGGTCGTGGCCCCTTGTCCTCAGCTGCTGGCGGCCCATGTGGGAGGGACCCTTGCTCTGCTCTTTGTCCAGGGAGCCCAGAGCACGGGCTGTGTCCTGGCTGGGATCCCGCAAGCAGGAAGCAGCCCGTGCCCTGGGGCTGGTGATCCCGGGGGAAGATGGGCACACTCCACACTAGGGTGTCAGTGAGACGTGATCCAAGGGAGGACTTAGCAGAAGTGCCCTGGAAGTGCAGAGGAAGGTGGGAGCCAGGAAGGCTGAAGGGAGAGGGTGTTCCAGGGGGCAAAACCACCAGGGCAGAGCTGGAGAGGAGCAATGGGATGAGGCTGGTCCGAAGAACTCGGCAGTTGGTCTGGGGAGGCAGTGGGTGGGGGGGGGGACAGTACTCAGCTTTGTGGAGGCCGCAGAGGCCCAGCAGAGAAGTGGCAGGATCAGCCCTGGGTCTCAGAGGTCCCCGGCTGCTGTGTAGAATGCGGTTTGGCGAGGCAGGAGCAGCCAGGAGGCTGGTTTGGTGTCCCTGGGGCCTGGCGTTGTAGATGCACCAGGGCTGGGGGGGGGGGTGGAGAGGGGAGGCTCTGGGATCCCCGTGCTGCAAATGCAGGTCCGCAAACACCAGACTGGAGCTCCTGGGGCTCAGGAACTCTGGCCTGGTTGTTCTATGTCCATGGTTTGTATACAGTTGGTGCTTAATAATTGCTTGCTAGGTAAGCAAGTGAGTACAGGAGGCTGACAGCTGAACGGAGGGAAGTCCCCTGGCCAGGATGAGCAAGGCGGGAGCCTGTGGGGCACTCTGGGTGGGGCCTTTGCAGGCAGGTGGGCTCTCGGGGGCTGCACAGGTGCGGTGCTTGTGGGAATGGGGGGTCACTCGTGCACCACGTGGCCGTCGCCTTGGAGGGCGGGCCTGGCCTCGTCACTGCGATGTTGCTTGTCTGCGCAGTCTGCTGGCCTGTGCTCAGGGAGGCTGGGGGAGGCAGGACTGGGTTCACTCAGTTCTGAGTTTGCTGTGCCTGGCTCGCGGCTGCGCACTGCTGAGGGGTGTGTGTGTGTGTGAGTGTGTATATGTGTGTATGTATGTCACACTTGTGGGAAGGCTGGGAAGGAACTTCCTGCCGGGCACGTCATTCTGGCACGCACGCTGGGTCCCTGGGAGAAGTTGCACAGGGCAGTTGGCCGGGTCGGGAAAGGCCAGCCCAGCAGTGGGAACCAGGCGTAATGAGCGTTTGCAGATGCAGACATGAGCGTTTGCAGATGCTGTCGCCGCTGCGTTGAACGGCCAACGCCATGCTGATCCGTGGGGTGTGGGGGGTTGGAAGCCAGTAGGAGGGAAACTGAGGCCACATGACATGGAAGGGGGGAGATACCCAGAGCCAGGCCCAGCGAGTCCCCCGGGCAGCCACCTCCATGCCCCCTGCAGCCTCTTCTCATTCCAGGAAGCGCGGTCACGTGACCTTCCATCTGCCGCCTGTCTTTCCCAACAGAATCGACCTTCCGTGCCCCAAAGGCTGGTGGGGGAACCCCGTCTGCGGGCCCTGCCACTGTGCCGTCAGCAAAGGCTTCGATCCCGACTGCAACAAGACCAACGGCCGGTGCCAGTGCAAGGTGAGCCCAGCCCGCAGGGGACGGGGGGAGTGTGTCCCCCGACACTCCCCAGGCCGTGAGCCCAGGGAGATGGCTGTGCGTGCACACACATACACATACGAATACCTGTACATGCCTATGTGCATGTACACATATACCTCTACACACACCTGTCTGTGTACACTCACACACATCCACACGTACCCCTACCTGTATGCTCTCATGCATCTGCACAGGCACCAAATACACATACACACACACCTGCACGCCACACTTAGATATAGGCACACGTGTGCAAATGTGGTCGTAGGTTTCTTGCTACTCACCTCTGCACTGTGAGCACGCTGCGTGAACTGGTTTAGACCCTCCTCCCGTGCAGTGAGAACCCCCCCACGCTCCCAGCCTGACGCCCAGTTGGGAACAGGAAACCCCACGGTTTCTGTGCGGATTGGCTCATCTTGGGCACCAGTGCGGTTCTCTGGGTTGGCACTTTCCTGGTCTTTCACCAAGCTGGCATTCTGTGACCACAGAAATTTCTGAACTATGAAAAGTTGCTGCGTGGTTCAGTAAGGCCCCCAGCCCCTCCCTGGGAGTTCGGTCCTAGCCTGTGTGCAGCGCCGAGCCCACCGTCCTATGGTCTCTGAGTACGCGAGGGTGTCCTCCTCGGAAATCACGGGACACCCTGTCCCCTCGACCCCTAGAAACTCACCGTGTTCTCCAGGATCATCGAGTCCGTAACTGTCGTTAAGCCACAGTGACTTTAAACCCAAACAGAAGGTCTGGTGGTAACAGGACCCTTGGGGAGAGACGTGGGCTGTCAGGCCAACACCGACCCAGGGAGGGCACTTGTCACGAGGGGCACCCTCCGGTGCCGTCCCAAGAAATCAGTAACGTCTGAGGGCTCCACGGCCCTTCCAGCGACAAACGGGACTCCTGTCCCGAAACGCTCAAGGGAAAGGTTAAAAGTGTCAGGCCGCCCAGCCCGTGTGGCCAGTCAGCCACGGTAGGCGGCACCAGTGGGCGGCAGGGAGGAAGCACCCTGGGGTGTATTTCTGGAGAAAACTTGCCTATAATTTTTTTTCTCAGCAAAACTTATAGAAAATGCAAGAGAGAACCTAAAGGTGCCAGTCACCCCGTTGTCACCTCCCAGCTGTGGCTGCTAGTGTCAGCGCCTCCTTCCAGGCTTCCTGCTACCCTGGTTCCACACGGTTGGAACCTGCCGGGCACGGGGGCCTGAGGCTGCTCGCTGGTCTGCCCGGGTCGCAGTCCGCCCCGATTTGCAGAGGGGACGCTTGGGCCCCCGGGGAGGCCGAGGGGCCCGCCAGGGTGGTGGGGCCAGTAAGGGCAGAGTCGGGCACAAACCCGGCACGCTGGACCCGAGCACACGCCGTGGAGCATCCCTGACCTGCCCATGGTGCACGTTCAGGGCTTTCTCACCTTCCACGGCTTCAGAAGAGAAAGGCCGTGAGCGCCGTCCTCGGACAGAGGTCCCCGCTTGCATCTCCGCTTCCCTTTAGAAACGAGTAGGAAGGGAAGGGCCCGTCGTGGGGGTTTGCCAGGAAGCGAGGCAGGGCTTCCCTGGAGAGCTGCTCTCCGTGTCTGTGCGAGGCGGCCGGCTCGGGCGGGGCAGGTGGTGGAGGGCGGACTCGAGAAGGCGGGCGGCTCACCGCCGACACGCGTGCGCGCGTGTGGGTCCCGCCGCTCGGGAAGCGGTGCCCTGCGAGCCGGGGCTCTCGCCGGTGTGGGGCTCACGTGCGCTGCTCTGGCTGCCGCAGGAGAACTACTACAAGCCCCCGGCGCAGGACGCCTGCCTGCCCTGCGACTGCTTCTCCCACGGCTCCCACAGCCGCGCGTGCGACATGGACACGGGGCAGTGCGCCTGCAAGCCCGGCGTCGTCGGCCGCCAGTGCAACCGCTGCGACAACCCTTTCGCCGAGGTCACCACTCTGGGCTGCGAAGGTCCGAGTTGCCCCGTGACCCCTCCAAGGGTCACACCACAGGGGCGGGCTGCTGGGCACATGCATGTGTTTGCATGTGCACGCATGTGTGTGCATGTGCACGCATGTGTGTGCATGTGCACGCATGTGTGTGCACGCATTGTGTGTGCGTGTGCATGTGCACGTGTGCATGTGCATGTGTGTGCGTGTGTGTGCAGGTGTTTGGGGGTCCCTGGGCAGCCTGTGTCTGTGTTCTCTTGACTTTCTGGAAACCTGGCCCTCCGCAGGGGCTGGGGGTCAGAGCCCGGGTCACCCCTTCCCCAGTGTTGGCATCGGCGGTGGCGGGGACGACGTGGAGGGTCCATCGGTGGGGACGGGCCTCCCGCGGGGGCGCAGGCAGAGAGCGCCGTGCACGCGTGCTGGGCCACGCTGACGCCCTCCTCCCTCTCCACCCCAGTGATCTACAACGGGTGCCCCAGAGCGTTCGAGGCCGGCATCTGGTGGCCGCAGACCAAGTTCGGGCAGCCGGCCGCGGTGCCGTGCCCCAAGGGATCTGTGGGTGAGTGTCCGTGGCCCGTGGCATCCACGGGGCAGGAAATTGGGCTGAGGCGTGTGTCCTTGCAGAAGAGCCAGCCCCGACATCGGGGCTCACGGAACGTTCCGTAATGGGGAAAAACGCCTTCAGTCAAAGTGCTGGGGAGACATGAGGTCACTTTTCTTTAACAGTAAGTGACAAAACAGGGAAAGGGCGTAACAAAGACATGCTAACAAACAGCGTAGGGGGTGACACCCGGAATCAAGCCTGGCCCCTCTCCGGCCCTGCCACGCCCAGGCTGGGGGCCTCGGACAAGTGGCTTTGCTGTTCACGGCGTTGGGGTCGCTGTGAGGTGGGACGGTGACCGTGTCCGCGCTGTGAGGGGCGTCTGGCGCCCAGCGGGGCAGATTCCCGGCGCAGTCGGAACCCTTGGCCCTCGGCGAGCGGCCTTGTCTGTTTCTTTCCTCACGGGCGCGCTCAGCTGCGCGGTTGTGTTTTCCGGGCACCGGCAGGGCCTGGTTGTGAACGTCCACGCAGCTGTGGACGTGGCCGCTGCGGGGAAGAGGGGCCCCCGCGTTGGCCTCGTGGGCCCGGACTCCTCGCGCTCTGCAGGGCTCTGGGTTTAGGGACATCCCAATCGGGGGTTAAATAAGCAGGCCTCGATCGACAATCTGAATCTCGGGTTTTACACGTCTGTCCTTGTCCCATAGGGAACGCGGTCCGACACTGCAGCGGCGAGAAGGGCTGGCTGCCCCCCGAGCTCTTCAACTGCACCACTGTGTCCTTCATGGACCTCAGAGCCATGGTAGGCCCGGCCTCGGGCTGTGCGTTCAGTGTGTGTGTGTGTGCACATACGGTTGTGCATAAGCATGTGTGTATGTGCATATTTATATGTATGTGCATGCGTATGCACAGGTGTGCCCGTGTGGGTGTGTGGGTGCATGCATGTGTGTATGTATATGGGTGCGTGTACGTGTGTGTGCATGTACGCTTGTGCATAAGCATGTGTATGTGTGCATGTATGTGCATATTTGTGTGTGTATGCATGCGTATGCACAGGTGTGCCCGTGTGGTTGTGTGGGTGCATGCATGTGTGTATGTATATGGGTGCATGTGCGTATATGCATGTGTGTGCATGTTTGTGTGTACATGTGAGTGCACGTGTGTGTGTGTGTGTGTGTGTATGCATGTGCGTGAGTCTGTGTCTGGCCGGGCTCCTGGGCTGGGGAGCTTGGGCAGGTGGCACAGGCACCGGCTGGCGGGTCAGAGGCCTGGAGCCAGCGCTGTTTCTGCCGCTCGGGAGTGCCGGCCTCCGAGCTGGGTGCCCACACGCTGCTCTCTCCCGCGAGGACCCATCTCTGCGTCTCTGGGTCTGACGGCGCAGGACGACCCCGTGCTCAGCCCCGTTCCCCTCTGGTCCTGCCCTTTTACTCTCTCTCATCTTCTACGTGGCATCATTTTCTAATGTTATCAGCCAAAGTTCATCTCTGGGCCTTTGGGTTTTCTTTCTTTCTTTTTTTTTTTTTTTGGAGACAGAGTCTCACTGTGTTGCCTGGGCTAGAGTGAGTGCCGTGGCATCGGCCTAGCTCACAGCAACCTCAGACTCCTGGGCTCAAGTGATCCTCCTGCCTCAGCCTCCCGAGTAGCTGGGACTACAGGCGTGCGCCACCATGCCCGGCTAATTTTTTCTATATATATTTTTAGTTGGCCAATTAATTTCTTTCTATTTATAGTAGAGACGGGGTCTTGCTCTTGCTCAGGCTGGTCTCAAACTCCCGAGCTCGAGCGATCCGCCCGCCTTGGCCTCCCAGAGTGCCAGGATGACAGGCGTGAGCCACGGCGCCCGGCCTGGGCCTTTGGATTTTTACTTTGCTTCCCGACAGGGAAACTTTGACCGGAAGGTAGTGAGTTTCCCGACAACAAGCAGGACCGAAAGCGACCCAGGTGGGTCTGCAAGTGCCGTGACTGCCCCCCCCCACTTCCCTGTTGCAGAATGACAGGCTAGGCCGCAACGAGACGCAGGTGGACGGAGCCGGCGCCCTGCGGCTGGCCAAGGCGCTGCGCAACGCCACGCAGCAGACCGGCACGCTCTTCGGCAACGACGTGCGCACGGGCTACCAGCTGCTGGCCCGGCTGCTGCAGCACGAGAGCCGGCAGCAGGGCTTCGACCTGGCCGCCACGCGGGACGCCGACTTCCACGAGGTGGGCGGTGGCAGCCCCACTGGGGGAGCCCTGGGGCCCGCGGCATGGGGCCAGGCGTCCTGTAGGGGCGGGGGGCGGAGCTCAGCTCGCCCGCGCTAGATCGTGGTGTCCGGGGTCCTGGAGGCGGCACTTGGCCTAGGCCCGTCCGGTGATGGCCGAGCTGATCTGAGCATTGGGGGGTGTTTCGGCAAGAAGCCCGTGGGTCACGGTCTTGGTGGCAACCAGCCGCAGAACTTCCTGTGTGCCACACGGTGTTGCGAGCGCCTCTTCCTGAATCAGCCACCCTTCCTCCCTCACAGCTTACGGGGGGTATTGCTATCCACCGCTTGACAGGTAGGGAAACCGAGGCACGGAGAGCAAAGGGGTTGGCCCAAGGGCCCGGCTCGTAAGGGCTGGGGCCCAGCAGTGGGCTCTGGAGTCTGTGCTCCTACCCACGCCCCCGGGGTCCTGCGTGCAGTTGTCCACACCTCCGCTAAGGCCCTCCCGTTCTGCCTCTGTTTACCTGGCGGCCCCCAGAGGCGCCTGTGTGGAACGAGCGCTGAGGGCACTCACTCATCCTGACGTGTGACAATGGCTGTCATGGAGCCTCCTCACTCCTCTCCAGGCCTCCTTGACCACGCAGGGTCTCTGGAGGACCTTCCGTCCCCGCAGGGTCCCCGCGGGACCTTCTCGTCCACACGGAGCCCCCTGGGCCCTGGCAGGGCCCCTCGCTTTGACTTGAATCCCAGCCTTGCAGCCTGGGCCCAGAGAGTTCGTTCCGTTGTTGACTTTGCAAGCAGCAGTTTTCCCACCTGCTTTCTTCTTTTTGTTTGTTTTTTTTTGGGGGGGGGGTTTGAGACAGAGTCTCGCTTTGTTGCCCAGGCTAGAGTGAGTGCCGTGGCGTCAGCCTAGCTCACAGCAACCTCCAACTCCTGGGCTCAAGCAATCCTCCTGCCTCAGCCTCCCGAGTAGCTGGGACTACAGGCATGCACCACCATGCCCGGCTAATTTTTTCTCTATATATTAGTTAGCCAATTAACTTCTTTCTATTTATAGTAGAGACAGGGTCTCACTCTTGCTCAGGCTGGTTTCGAACTCCTGACCTTGAGCGATCCACCCGCCTCGGCCTCCCAGAGTGCTAGGATTACAGGCGTGAGCCACAGCGCCCGGCCTCCACCTGCTTTCTGCCCCGGGTGGCGGCCCCCGAGCCCCTGTGTGCAGCCTCACGCCCCCGCCCTGCCCTCTGCGCCCCATTCGGGTAACCCCGCAGGTGCGCAGAGCAGCGTCACTCCCTGGGCAACTGAGCACCTGCCCGTGGGTGGCCTCACCGCCCCATCCTCTGTCTGGCCCCCGTGTGGTGGTCCCGTCCCCGGGCTTACCTGGGGGGTCCAGGGGCCTCTCTGCGCACCTTCCCCATCCTGGCTGCCTCCCCCATCCCCACCTGGCTCCGTCTCGCCGGGCAAAGGCCATGGGGGCCCGGCTCCCCGCCCCCACCGCCCGCCAGGCCTCGGGGGCGGGAAGCTGAGCGCCGCCCGCTTGTCCGCCCAGGACGTGGTCCACGCGGGCAGCGCCCTCCTGGCCCCGGCCACCAGGGCGGCGTGGGAGCAGATCCAGCGTGGCGAGGGCGGCTCGGCGCGGCTGCTGAGGCACTTCGAGGCCTACTTCGGCAACGTGGCGCGCAACCTGCGGAGGACCTACCTCAGGCCGTTCGTCATCGTCACGGCCAACATGAGTAAGGGCCGAGCCGGCGGCGGGCGGGTGGGACCCTGGGGCCATCGGGGCTGCGTGGTCACAGGAGCCGGCCTGTCCCGGGCCGACCGAGGCAGGTGGGCCGCCGGCCGCCGCTCAGCCGCTGTCTTAGAAAAGTGATGCGTCGGTGGCTCTGGCCTCTGTGTCCTCGTCTGTGAAAGGGGCCCTTGGGCAGACCGGCCTCGGCGACACACCTGCTCTGGCCTTCCGAGCTGCGGGTGTGGGAGGCGCTCTAGGAGGGGGGTGTCGGGGGGCCCACTGCAGTCCAGCCGCGCCTGCGTGGGGGTGGGTGAGCCCCCAGGCTCACCGCAGATGGGACAGACACGGGTGGGCGCAGAAGGACAGAGGCAGATCCGGTTCTGCCGTGGTCAGTCAGTGCCCAAGTGGCACTCCTGGTTCTTTCGGAAACGGCGAGCACCTGGGAAGGCCCCGGGCGTTGTGTGTGGCTAAAGGAACTGTCTCCCCAGTTCTCGCCGTGGACGTCTTCGACAAGTTCAACTTCACGGGAGCCAGGGTGCCTCGGTTCGAGGACCTCGACCAGGAGGTCCCCAGGGAGCTGGAGGCCTCCGTCTCCTTCCCGGCCGACTTCTTCAAACCGCCCGAGAGAAAAGGTAAAACTGCTTGGAGACCCGCTGCCGCCCTTGGCCACCCTTGGCGTGGGCCAAGCAGGCCCTCCACCCTGACACTCTGCTCTCGTGCCCTGTTGTTCACCGCGGCCCCGAGCCCCAGTCTTTGCTGTGACCGTCCCCGCTGCAGGCTGTAATCCCAGCCTGGTCCCCATCCCCTCACCTCCCTGTGCCCGGTCCACCTTGGCCCATAGGGCACACTGGCAGTGCTGTGACCCAGCCCAGGTGTCCCAAAACAGTGCTGTCACCCAGCCCAGGTGTCCCAAAACAGTGCTGTCACCCAGCCTGAGTGTCCTGAAACAGTGCTGTCACCAGCCCGGGTGTCCCAACCAGTGCTGTCACCCAGCCCGGGTGTCCCAACCAGTGCTGTCACCCAGCCCGGGTGTCCCTAGCCAGTGCTGTCACCAGCCCGGGTGTCCCAACCAGTGCTGTCACCCAGCCTGGTGTCCCAAAACAGTTCTGTCACCAGCCCGGGTGTCCTAACCAGTGCTGTCACCCAGCCTGGTGTCCCTAGCCAGTGCTGTCACCAGCCCGGGTGTCCCAACCAGTGCTGTCACCCAGCCTGGGTGTCCCAACCAATGCTGTCACTGAGCCTGAGTGTCCCAAAACAGTTCTGTCACCAGCCCGGGTGTCCCAACCAGTGCTGTCACCCAGCCCGGTGTCCCTAGCCAGTGCTGTCACCCAGCCTGAGTGGCCCAAAACAATGCTGTCACCCAGCCTGGGTGTCCCAACCAGTGCTGTCACCCAGCCTGGTGTCCCTAGCCAGTGCTGTCACCCAGCCCGGTGTCCCTAGCCAGTGCTGTCACCCAGCCCGGTGTCCCTAGCCAGTGCTGTCACTCAGCTTGAGTGGCCCATAACAGTGCTGTCACCCAGCCCCGGTGTCCTAACCAGTGCTGTTGCCCAACTTGGCAACTTGGCTGTCCCTAGCCAGTGCTGTCACCCAGCCTGGGTGTCCCTAACCAGTCTATTGGCCAGACCCCCGGCTGGCCGTGCTGGGGGCTCAGGGCCCACCCCCACATGGCAAAGCCCCGTGTCGCTCACACGCTGAGGTTCACGTCTAAACCAGGGTCTACGGCATCCAGGGGAGCACACTCTGGTCAGTGCCCAAAACTTTTAAGTGATAGTACCCCAAACCGTGCCTATTTATTTACGAGGTCTGTACGTGGCCTTTTATATCCTGGTGCCAGGTACAGTTGAAACACCCACGTTTTACCTGAAATGAAAACCTGGGATGCAACCCCCGCAGGCTTCAAGTGGGACTGCAGAGGGGTGATGTCATCAGCCAATTTCATGAGGCTTCTGTCACTTTTTAAAAAATTGTGAAATACACATAAGATAAAATTTTCCGTCCTCACCCCTGTGAGCGTGCAGTTCAGCAGCACGAAACACACGCATGCCGTGAGGCCGTCTGTCTGCATGGCTTCGCATCTGCAGTCCTGAACCTGTCCCCACTGAACTCTGAATCGCCTCCCTCCCCTGGCACTCACCGGGCGACTTTGTCTCTACGAATTTAACACCCCCAGGACCTCACATAAGTGGAATCCTATGGCGTTTGTCCTTTTGTGACTGTGTTACTGGCTTATGTCAGTTAGCATAATGTCTATAAGGTTTGTCCATGTTATAGCAGATGTCAGGATTTCCTTCCTTCCTTTCTTTCCTTCCTTCTGTCTTCTTCTCTTTTTTGAGAGACAGGATCTTGCTCTGTCACCCAGTGGTTCGATCATAGCTCACTGTAGCCTTGAACTCCTGGGCTCAAGCGATCCTCCTGCCTCAGCCTCCCGAGTAGCTGGTGCTATAGGTGTGAGCCACCACGCCCAGCTAACTTTAAAAAAAAAATTTTTTTTTTGTAGAGATAAGATCTCTTGATGTTGCCCAGGCTGGTCTTGAAATCCTGGACTCAAGAGATCCTCTTGCCTGGGCCTCCCAAAGTGCTGGGATTACAGGTGCGAGCCACAGCACCCAGACTGAATTTCGTTCCTTTCTGAGGCAGAACAATGTTCCGATGCTTGGCAGACCACGTTTTGTTCGTCCATTCACCTGTCGGTGGACACTGGGGTTGTTTCTGCCTTTCTGCTGTTGAGAATAAGGCCGCTGTGAACATGCGAGTGAAAATACCTCTCCTAGACCCTGCTTTCGGTTTTTTTGAGCGTACACCCACAAATGGAATTGCTGGATTGTGTGGAGACGCCGCGTTTAGCTTTTTGAGGTCCTGCGTGCTGCCCCCCGTGGGACATCTGTCGGTACCTGAGGAGCACTTGCTCCAGGTGCTGGTGGCCTGGTGGGGCGCGGGTGTCCCTGGCCAGAGCCCTGACGCTGCCCACATTGCAGAAGGCCCCGTGCCGAGGCCGGCCGGCCGCAGGGCCGCCCCGCAGACCGCGGGCCCCGGGCCCGGCGCCGAGAGGGAGGCCGCCGCGTCCAGCAGGCGGAGGAGGCACCCGGACGAGCCCGGCCAGTTTGCCGTGGCCCTGGTCATCGTGTACCGGACGCTGGGGCGGCTGCTGCCCGAGCATTACGACCCCGACCGCCGCAGCCTCAGGTAGGGCCCCCACCGCCCACGCGCTCCCCAGCGGCCTGGCGCCGTGACCCCGGCCCTCGACAGACGCCGTCGCCCTGCGCCGTGGGCAGCTCTGGGTCGGCCCCGCCCGGTCACACGCCCTCGGCCCCTGCTCCTCTCGGTGCCCTGCCCCTCCCCGGCCTGCACCCCGGGGCTGTCGGGGTGGTGCCTGGCACCTGCCCCAGCCTCGAGGGCCGCTTGGCCAGCGCTGGCTGGAGGGAGTGAACGTCCCCGTGGGGGGCCGGGCGCCCCGAGGCTCTGCTTTCCACCCTGGGCGTCGGTGCCCAGATGCTTCCAGGCTCTGTGGGCTCCGCGTCCGTGTTGTTCTTGGGCGCTCGGCGACGTCCGCCGCGGGCCGTACCGGGTCCCCGGGTGTCTTCTGCTGCACGTCTGAGCCGATCGTGGCTCTGCCAGGGTGTGCTGGGGCTGTCGCGTCTCCCCCACACCCCCACCCCGTGCCTTCTCTTTGCCGTTCAATTCCCGGAGTCCCCGTGTGGCCCAGAGGCGACACGTCCCTTCCTCCACGGAGGAGGACACAGCGGGGCTCGAGGGCCGCGATTCGGTCCTCCCAGAAAGGCGTCGCCCTGCGTCCCCGTCGCGTCTGCGGCGGGATCTGAGCGGACGCCCCCCGGTCACGCGAGCCCCTGTGCCCTGGCGTCTCGCCCGCAGGCTGCCCGCCCGGCCCGTCATCAACACGCCGGTGGTGAGCGCCGTGGTGTACAGCGAGGGCGCCCCGCCCCCGCGCCCCCCGCAGCGGCCCGTCCTGGCGGAGTTCGCCCTGCTGGAGACGGAGGAGCGGACCAAGCCCGTGTGCGTGTTCTGGAACCACTCCCTCGCGTAAGTGCGACTCCGGGCTGGGCAGTGCCGCCTCCGCTGCCGGAGCCGCGAGCCCCCCGGTGAGGGCTTTGCCACGGCCAGACTGCCCGCCGTCCCGAGGGCAGAGTGTCCCCCGGGGACGGTCTCTCGTGGCCGATGCTTCCCTTGCATTCCCGTGTGGGGCGGGGGCCGGTCTTCCCGCTCTGCTTCCGGGGTGTCAGAGCCTCCCCTGCATGCCTGCACACAGGCAGCCGTGTGCACACGGACACACGCAGACACGTGCCCGCACGTACACGGGCCGCCCGCCCGCAGGACTCCCGAGGTGTGGCAGCCAGCGCCAGCGCTCAGGCCACCACCAGACCAGGGAGGACTTGTTCTGGCCACAGCCAGACGTCAGCCTGGCCCCCCCCGCCACCCCACCCCCCCAGAGCAACACAGCGCAGCTGCGGGGGCCGGGTTTACCCCGCCAGGGGCCACCCTGCCTGGGGCGGGTTTGTTCAGAGCAAGGAGAGCAGCCAGGGTCACAGCAGGTGCGTTCCTGCAACCGTCTGGGCGAGGAAAAGGTGTTGCATAGTTAGAAAAAGTGGAAGTAAGCGATTTCTGCCCACGTAGGGCAGGATGTGGTTCCTCCAGCCAAAAGCCAAGGTGCTCCCGCCTTTGCGTGTTTGGGGTTTCCTGGCTTTTCGGCTGCAGGGCTTATGTGAAGTGTGGACTTATCTGAGTTCCCATCTTTCCGGGGCTTCCTTTGTCTCTGCTGTTTGTTTTCACTTTCGGGGCTTCCTTTCTCTCTGCTGTTTGTTTTCACTTTCGCTGTCTCTAGAAAGAAACAGTAGAACTGGGGCGGCTGGGAATGGCCTGTCGTCAGGAGGGGCACAGGGTCTCGGTTGTAAAAGACTCTCCAGGTGTTTGAGACCAAGGAAGGGGTGATGCTGTCTGGGATCCAGGGCCCCCCAGGCTCCCCTCGCTTGGAGCCAGGACCGAGTGTGGTGAGCCGGGGTTCCACGCAAGAGGAACATTCCAGAATCGCAACTCCTCCGTGTGTAGCGGATGGTGCAGAGCGCTGAGCGGGTCCGTGCTCTGCTTCTGTGCTCTCCACGCTCTGGCTAATGAGTAACCCGCCGGGGCTGTAACAGGCACTCGGCTCACAAAGGGGAGAACAAAGGAAGCCCTCTGGGATGGGGGCCTGGGCTCACTGTCTGTCTTTTGAGTCCCGGCAATTAGCTCTGCCTCTAGCGACCTGCCCTCTCCATTATGTGGCTCCTTTTATCCCTGATCTTAGAGCTCGTGGCAGACACATTGACGCGCAACATCCCATTTCACAGATGGGCAAACTAAGGATTTGAGAGGTTACGGGATTTTCCCAGAGTCGAGAGGCCAGGACACACCTTGGAACTGCTTGTTATTTGGGGCTTCCCGTGGGCTAAACGGGGCTAATAACTGGGTCCCGGCTTCTGGGCAGTTCCCATAAAAGGTTGTGCAATCGGAAGATGAAAGTGTGAAGTGAACGTGAGACACGGTGTCTCAAGTCCTCTCCGTTCAGGAGACCGCAGTAAAAGCAGCTGCTTTGCCCCCGGGGTGATGTCCCGACCACGGGCGTGCGGTGGGCACCAGACCCGCCCGTTTGAGTTTCACGGCTGGGCGGCGTCACACTTCGGAGGAGGCTCCTTAGGGGAAGGGAGGCTGTGCACGGGGTCCTCGTAGCCGGGTGCAGGGAGGTGGCCAGGGACGCAGGGAGAGCAGTCTGCGGGGTCGGACGTTGGGAGCACGCACTGACCGCTCCTTGTTTCCCGCCCCTCCTGTGGGCCCGGCGGAGCCCCCGGCTGGGTGAAGGCTGCCCCGGGCGGGCGGGTTCCTGGCCGAGGGAACCAGCTCACCCCTCTTCCCTCCGCAGCGTCGGTGGGACCGGAGGCTGGTCGGCCAAGGGCTGCGAGCTGCTGTCCCGGAACCGGACGCACGCGGCGTGCCAGTGCAGCCACACGACCAGTTTCGCTGTGCTCATGGACGTCTCCCGGCGCGAGGTGGGCACCCTCCCTCCGGCCCTGCCCGCGGGCCCTGCGCTTCTGACGACGGACATTAAGCCCGGCCCCCCGAGACTCCCCCTCCAGCTGCCCCTTTCTTTCTAAGCACTTTGAACAAACCAAACCAACCTGCATTGCAGGGTGGGACGATTTCCATAACAAAGCCCCATTAAAAGGGTTTTCAAAGAGCCCAGGTTGTGCATTAAAGCCTGAGATGGCAGGACCCCCTGGAATGTGCCCCCCTGGCCGCTGCAGGGCAGTCTGTCAGACCCTGCTCTCCACCCGCTGCCGTGGGGCAGCCGGCCACCCCTCTCAGGCCACACACGGGGCACGGAGGCTCTGCCGGGAGCTCTCCGGAGATGGGGCAGCCCGTGTTGAACCTCCGGCACCGTGAGCGGCCTGGGAATGAGCCGGCGCGGTGGCCCTGCAGATGCATCGGGCAGCAGGGCCTGTCCCGGCTCCCGTTTCCCAGAGGAGACGCGGTGTGGGGCCGGCCCGGGCACGGCGTGTGGGGGCAGTGGTGTCGGGAGCCAGAACCAGGTGAAATGGCCCAGAACCACGTGGAAACGGGCAAGATGCTGAGTGGTGTCATTTGTATTTTACTACAGTTTTTTTTTTGTTTGTTCTTTTTAAAAAAAAAGATGCATCTGCTGCCCTTAAGAAGTGTGTAGTAAGAGACCTAAAAACTAGAAAAACAAATCGATACAACACGAGCCACCGTAGAGACATGAGCAGCTGACACAGGGTGGACTTGCTCGTGACGGTCACGGGAAGGTTCACCTGGAGGGACAGCGTGGTGGCGGGGAAGGGGCCCCGCCAGGTGATGAGTGCGAGTGATCCCGCTAGTCCCAGCGTTGCACCCCGCCCCGCTGTGGGGCTCCCCGCAGGTCGCTGAGCTCTTGGGCGTCACTTCCCTCCCCTGCGGGGCGGGGAGACGGCAGCACCGGCAGCACCGTCCTCATGGCTGCGGTCTGCGCACGGCACCAGGAGCGCCCACCCGCGCAGGTGTGCTGGGGTCCCTGCCGCGCGGCGAGCGTCCGCTAGCCAGGGCGCTGTTGGCGCTGCATCACCAAGCCTGCCCGTTTTCTTTGTGAAGAGGGAGCCGTCTTTTAGCCAAAAGTGTAAATCCATGATGACATTTCACAAAGCGGGGCACGGGCGGTGCCGCAGGGTCCTGGCAGGGACACGCTCGCCTCCCGCGCCAGCCCAGCGTCTGCCTGGAAGGTCCCGCCCGCCCGAGCGAGGGGTGGGGCTCCGCTTCTCCCTGGGACCGCAGGATTCGCTGCGAGTTCAGCTGCTCCCCTTTTTCTTTTAAGATGGCAAAGTGATACGGAACGTAAACCGTGAGCGTAGAATTCAGGGGCCTTAACCACTTGGGTCCGGCGCCCACCGGCCGGCCTTGACGCCTCGCCCACGGCCGCACTCACGGTCCGCGCGGCAGTCTGCGCTGTGCGTTGACGACGCGTCCGTCTTGCTCTCGTGTGACGAGGAAAGCTTGAAAGCACTGAGAGCTTGTGTTACTTTACAGGCAGCTTTACTTGTAACGTAAATCAGAATAGGTAACACAGACATATATGTTTGCATTACGTTATTATTATATTTTTTGACACAGAGTCTCACTCTGTTGCCCAGGCTAGAGTGAGTGCCGTGGCGTCAGCCTAGCTCACAGCAACCTCCAACTCCTGGGCTCAAGCGATCCTCCTGCCTCAGCCTCCCCAGTAGCTGGGACTACAGGCATGCGCCACCATGCCCGGCTAATTTTTTCTATATATATCAGTTGGCCACTTAATTTCTTTCTATTTATAGTAGAGATGGGGTCTCGCTCTTGCTCAGGCTGGTTTAGAACTCCTGACCTCGAGCAGTCTGCCTGCCTCGGCCTCCCAGAGTGCTAGGATTACAGGCGTGAGCCACCGCGCCCGGCCCATTACGTTATTTTTAGATGTTCACAATTTTATTTTGATAAATGAAAAGTCAGCAAAGTCGCATCACGGCTGTCGGCTACAGTCGACGCTGGCTGTGTGCGTCCACCTGTGGCTGTCGACTGTAGTCGACGTTGTGCCGACGCGGCTAAGCACACTCAAGCTGCTGCGTAGCCGTCACCCTCGCCCGTCTCCGGAGCCTGTCCCTCTCCCAAGCTGCCTGCTGGTCCTTGCCCTCGCTCCGTGCTGCGCTGAGGACCGCGTGTGCGTCGGCGGGCTCCTGCCGGCCCCCACGGTCTCATGACCGGCGACGCTCTGTCTGCGTTGTGCGGGAGCCGAGAGAGCCGCGGCCCTCACCTTCCCTCCTGCCTCTTACCAACCGCCCGCAGCACGGGGAGGTCCTGCCCGTGAAGATCGTCACCTACGCCGCCCTGTCCGTGTCGCTGGCGGCCCTGCTGGCGGCCCTCGTCCTGCTGGCGCTGGCCCGCACGCTGCGCTCCAACCTGCACAGCGTGCACAGGAACCTGGGCGCGGCGCTCTTCCTGTCCCAGCTGGTCTTCGTGCTCGGCATCAACCGGACCGAGAACCAGGTGAGGCCCCGCCCCCGCGCCCCTGCCGTGAGCCTCCCCGCGTGCGCCGTGGCCGGCGTGGTGCTGTCCCTCGGCGCCTGGTGTCACGCCGGTTTCCTCTTCCTAGCGAGGCCGGCCCGGCCACGGGTCCTCTCTCGCCTGTCCCAGGGGGGTGGGGGGCTGCCCTGCAGTTTCGGCCGGGCAGGTGCGCCAGGGCGTCCCGTGGGAAGGTGGGACTCCCGGGCCCAGCCAGGTGGGCTCGCGGTCACTTTGCACCTGGGCGGGACCCTCCCTCCAGAGGTGCCTGCGGGAGCCAAGTCGGGAGGGCCAGGGGCTCCAGACGTCAGGTCTCCCCGTCCTGACGCAGCACGGGTGATTGCGTAAGAAATTGCGGCCATTTGTCAAGTCCCAGAGCGGGGCTTCGAGCTACAGCGGGAACTGTCTCGGCCTGAAGATGCTTCTCCCACCCCCGGGCATCTTCTGCGCTTGCCGTGGGCACCTGTGTGCATCCCCAGAGAGGGGACGGACATCTAGACAGGTGTAGGGCTTGTGACGGGGTTTTCGGGTTGGGGTTGGGGTTGGGGTTGAAGAAGAGAAAGGAGCGCGCTGAAAATCAGAGTAACCCGTGAGCGGAGGAGCTGATCAGATGAGAGGAAAGACGGGCGAACCTCGGCTCGGTCTGCTTAAATATAGGGGTGTCATGTGGACTCCTGGGTTGTCACTCGGGCTTGTGGGGTATCGTTACTGGGGCCGCTGGGGTGTAGCATGGGACCCTGGGGTGTCCCGGGAGCTCATGAGGTGTTGAGACACAGAGGTAAAGCTGCTGAGTTTTCTCTGGACAGAGAGTGACAGTCGGGCCGCCTCTTCCTAGACCCGTGGTGCCCCGCTGGGGTGGGGACCTCACGAGGACCTCACAGCTTGGGTTGGAGAAAGAATTCTCACCCACCAGGAGTAGAATGGTTTGGGGAAAGAAAGTTTATTTTACTTTCTCAAGAAAGAAGTGAGAGAGAGAAGGAAATGGCACTGCAAGAGGGAAGGTGGGAAGTGCCCGGCCGCAGAGGAGAAGCGGCTCAGTATTTTTAAGGGTAAAAATGGGTTTTCCCCCTGGTTCCGCAGACCGAGGACGGGAGCGGCTGTGAGCTGTTGCAGGCGATCTTCAGTTTTTCTTTTCTCTGCGGGACTTATCAGAGTCCTTGGAATCTGGTTTCTGGCAGGGACTGAGGCAGTGAGCTGGCGTGGGGAGCTCTCACCTTGCTCTCTGCTGAGAAAACCCAACTCCTAGAGATGAGGAGTTAGGCTCAGGCGTTTTCATTAAACAGCACAAAGGCGGCAGCTGTCTTCAAAGGGACAATTATGTGCCGAGAGTTTATTTCTCTTACTTTCTGTTGATGGTTTATTTTCTTTTGTTAGGTAGGTTATTAGTTAGTAAGGTGACCTTTCACCCCCTTTTAAGCCTCTGACCCTGCACCCCGGGGGAGACCAGGTCCCTGGGGAGGACAGACACAGACCCGTGAACGAGTGAGGGACAGCACCTGCCAGCCAGCAAGTGTCCTCGTCTCTGCCCTTGGGACTTGTCACCGTGGAGGAAGGCGGGAGTGTCGGGTGCCATGTGGGATCTGGCACTGTGGCCGTCCAGTTATAATCGTACAACAGCGGGGGCCGTCAGCCCACGTGCAGGCTGTGCCTGGAACTGCGGTGACCGAGTGCACTGGCTGTGGCATCAGAGACCGGAAAGAGAGAGAAAAGGCTGTCATTGTTTATCAGATTATATAAGGTGACACGAGGGAACTTACACAAGTATCTAAAATAATCTACAGACACCTCATGGGAAACGGTCGGGGAGCCTAGCAAGGTAGCTGCTTGTTTCTGGAGGGATGACGTGTATGTGTAAAGTCATTGCACTCCTGTGCACGCCGCTGGGTGTATTGAACATGCAGTCTGCAAAGGAGTGATGGGAGGGGAGACGGGGCCGGGGCTGGTGTGTGAGATACGTTTGGCCGAGACAGGGAGGAAGGGGGACATGGACCACAGCCATGTGGTGTGTGTCTCGTCAAGGCGCAGGAGCCCGGGGGGAGAAGAGCAAGGTGGGTAATGCAGGAGGGAGGGACGGGCTGGTGGCGGCTGGAGACAAGGGCTTGAGGAGGGGGGAGTGGCCGGCTTTGGAGGTGGTTACCATGGCAGCACACGTCCATGCTGACTGGACACAGACAGAAGTGCAGGCCAGGGCGGGGACTTGTGGCTTTGGGCGTCCTCAGCTTGTTGCACTTGGGACGTTCAAAGCGCCAGGGCCCCAGCGTGCTGACAGGCAGTTAACTGCGCGTGGGGCAGCCTCGCAGCCGCCCTCGCCGGCGGCTCTGCACACACTGTAGTCCGTGTGTGTCTCCGTGATCCTCCTGGAGCACCGGGAGGTGGGAGCCTGGCTCCTCACAGGTCAGGTCACCTGCCCGGGCCACACAGCTGGGCGGGAGGTGGTGGGTCTAGGGTGGGAGCCGGGGTCTCGGTGCTGCTCCCCCGTGAGCCCCGTGCTGCAGACAGGTGACCACAGGGGGCTGGAGCCAAAGCCCTCCTGCCCTCGTGGATGGCCCCGACCACACCTGCTGCCCACCGCTCTCTGGATTTCGTGTGTCCGTCACTAAACGGTGGCCCTAGTAGCCCTAGGGAGCTGCAGGGCCAGTCGACCCTCACATTCACGTGTGGTGACCCCAGGAAGTTCAGAGGTTGCTCTGACATAGACCTGATCACTCTCTCAGTAGCACCCTGTTTGGGGACAGTGGGCCATTCCAGCGCTGCGGCCACCTGCTGTTGACACAGCTGCCGTCCCTCACTCCCTCGTGCAGACAGGATCTCTGGCCGTCCCTGCACTAAACCACCAAGGCCCAGATTCCAGAAGACCTCCCGCCCCTGCCCTCCCCGGTGGGTGGGAGGCCGTGTCTGGTCAGGGCAGAGCTGAACGGGACCACCCAGTTGCCACCCGGGGACGGGGTCCAGAATAAGGGGCAGGGACACGCCCGGAGCCTGAGGGCCACTTGAGGGGAGGACCGCCCTCTTCCTCCTGCAGGCAGCTTTGTGTGTGGACAGCCGTGAGCAGAGGTGCATTTCAGAAAGCCGAGCCTGGCAGCAGGTGGACGGCGGGTGGGAGGACAGTACGTGGGAGGACGGCGCCAGGCCAGCAGAGCGGCCTAACGGAGCGCTCACAGCCCTGGGAGGTGGCGTCCAGGCCCAGAAGCAAGGCCAGGGCAGCAGCCACGAGGAGGGAGGGGCAGGATCACGCCGTGGGGGCAGCCGAGGGCGTGCGGGGGCCACTCTCAGGTCTCCCGAAGGGGAGACGAGCGGGTGAAGGTGCCACGAACTGAGAGGAGAGCTCAGAGTGGCTGAGGCCGGGCGCACCGCGGGGGGCCGAGCAAGGTGCGGAGCTTGAGATGGGGGTGGTTTTCTGGGTGGGGGTGGGAATCGTGCCTGGGAATAGCCGGGTGCTGGGAAGGGAAATGGAAAAATAAGACCCAGGTGGAATTTTCCGGCTGGCTGGTCAGGGCCGCGTGCAGACTTGGGCAGGTCCTCCTGTTCCGTTGCGAGCAGCGGGGCCCCTCACGACCCCCCTAAGGTGGCCGAACCCCCTTAGGGGCCAGGGTGGGCACGCTTCCCCCACACGCAGACCTTGAGGAGGTTCCCTGATGAACTTAGTGGCTTCTTGGCAGCGGCAGGTGGAACGGCAGGCCTGTCCCGCAGAGGACGGTCCCCAGAGCGCGTGTGGGACCGGCAAGGGCCAAACCTCGCCACCCTCCAGGGGCCCCGAGGCCGGGAGGCTCTGCACGCCTCGGCCAGGCGCCTGCCCCTACGGGCGCGGCCTCGCTGGGGCCAGACCGGGAGCTGTCCCGGGAAGCTGGTCCTCGTCACAGCCTCCCGGCGCGCTGAGCGGTCGGGGCAGAGGGCGTGGGGGGGTGGGGGGCCCTCCCTGCCACCGAGCCCCAGCGAGAAGGGCGAGGGTGACTCATCTCCCGCCCGGCGCAGCTCCCCGGCAGCCACGCACCGCTGCGCACGAAGAAGAGAGGAAGCGGGGCCCAGGGTTCCAGGGGCTTGGCGGCGTGCCTGGTTTTTACGGGTTTTTTGTGAGCTCACAATCCTGTCTCTGGGCGAGGCTTTTCATCTCTCGGGACGCCGCGGGCAGGCCGAGGTGATTTACTGCGCGTCCGCGCCTTGTCTTTGTTCTCTTTCTGGAAAAGGTGTCACGTTCGGCGCAGCAGTCTGTGCATGTGCGGCCCCGCTGGACGGGAGGAGCCGTGGCTCTCCCACTTTGTGGTTCCAAGGTGGTTTTGCAGGTGTAGTTTTCACGCTGCTTAGGCAGCAGGCCAGGCACCCCTCGCCTGCGTCCCCGCCCCGCGCCAGCTGCGAATCCCTATCGGGAGCCCGGGTGTGCGGTGTGGGCGCGGCGGCCCCGGGCGGCCCCCGTAGCCCGTTTCCCGACCGGGTCCCCAGTCTGAGGCGCAGGGCATGTCCCCAGCCGTAGCAGGACACCGTTTCCTTCTGCCTTGGTTCCTGCTTTGCGGGGTGTTCAGCAGATGCTGAGCCACGTGGTTCCCTCCCGCACCTCCGGGTGCTCATTTCTGGGGAGTGCCTGGCCCGCCGAGGTTGACGTGGCAGCAGGTGGCACCTTTCGTGTCACCCTCGAGCCTGTACTCTGCGCACCTCTCCTCAGGGTGCACCGGCCTGCCGCCTGGCAAAGTGACGTCCAGCCCGGGCTGAGCTGGTGTCCCCTCCCCCTCCCCCTTCTCTTCCCCTCCTCTGTCCGTTGTGGGGTCTCTCCTGGGGGAGGACTCTGGCACCTGGGAGGTTGGCCTGCGGGGTGGCTGTGTCAGGGTGGGGCTGGGGCCCGGAGGGAGCCTGCACGTGTCCCAGCGGGCCAGGCTTGGGGAGCACAGGCCAGCCGCCCCCCAGAGAGCCCTGGGGAAGCCGCTCTGGGCCACATCTTCGACTCCAGCTCTGGAGCACGTGGCGGGGGGTGGGGGGGGTGCTTGATTTGCGCTAGTGGCCTCAGGGGCGGGACTCGCCGTGACCCCACAGTGTTCCCTGCCCTCCCCGTGTGCCCTCGTCCCACTCGCACGTGGCCTCTGTGTCTGGGCAGACAGGCTCACCCAGGCGGCTCAGCTGCTGCAGGGTCACGGGTTGTCCCTCTGCTGCCCTGGGGACATTGGTTTTCTCTTCCTGGCTCTCGGCCGGTGGCCAGACGCAGCCCTGCGCAGTGGAGGGTGGTCGCGTAGAACACACGCTCTCGTCCCTGCCTTTTCTTTGATGGAAAATACAAGCCTCCGTGCAGTCAGCGCGGGCGCGAGGAGCTCGTTCTCACTAACAGCGAGGTCGCTGCGTGGAGCTTCTCCTAGCCCCGGCCACGCCCGCTGGGCCGTGGGGCCCCGTGTGGAGGCGGCGGGGGCGGACACAGGCCGAGATCGCAGCCTGGGGTCCTCAGCCCGAGCAGGCCCATCTCCAGGGTATATTTTTTTAACTTTAAATTAGTTGCTAACATGTAAAGTTTTGGAGCCATCACCCAAACCCAGACTTCCAGCTTCTCTCCAACCGCCCCAGCCCCGCCCCAGCCAGGCGCGCTCAGGGCGGGCTCCGGCTCCCTGCCGCGCAGCCCGGGGGTGGGGGTGGGGGGGCCCGCCCTGAGCCGGCCTGTCTGCGCAGTTCCTGTGCACGGTGGTCGCCATCCTGCTGCACTACGTCTACATGAGCGCCTTCGCCTGGGCGCTGGTGGAGGGGCTGCACGTCTACCGCATGCTCACCGAGGTGCGCAACATCGACGCGGGGCCCATGAGGTTCTACTACGTCGTGGGCTGGGGCATCTCCGCCATCGTCACAGGTGAGGATGCGCCCGGGCCGCATTCCCACCGCCCGGCGGGGAGCCACGAGTCCCTGCTGACCCGGGAGCAGGCCCCGTGCAGGCAGGGGAGCCGCCCGCCCTCCGCGCTCTGCACCCAGCTCCATGCCCGTGCGCCAGGACTGGCGGCTGGCCTAGACCCTCAGGGCTGTGGGAACCCCGACTTCTGCTGGCTGTCCCACCCTGATCCCCGTCCCCACGTGTCTGTCCACACAACCACACTCGGGTGACGGCTCAGTGCCCCTTGGTGTCCGTTACTCCTCGAGAGCTGGGCCCGGCCTCGGGGCTCTGCTGCAGCCCTCCTCTGCCCGCAGGGCGGGGGGTGGACGAGCGGGACAGCAGACGCTCCCTGCTGGAAGTTGGAAAGTCGGAGTTTGCCCTTTCGGGACGGCGGAGCCTCACTCCTTCTGTTCATGGAAGGAAGAGCCTGAAGCCCCTTCAGGGTCGTCTCTGGACTCCCGGGACATGGACGCAAAGTCCGAGGCCAGAGGCACCCCTCGGGGCAGGGCTGTTGCCACCCAGGCTCTGCTCAGCGGCCACCTGGGGCCAGTCGCTGGTTCCCACGGTAGCGTCGCTGACAGGTGTCCTCGCCAGACAGCCTCCCAGGGCTCTGATGTGGCCGTCCCCCTATTCCGAGGGACCTTGAGTTGCCGTTTTCACGTCCACCCAGGGCCTCTGAGGCGGGGGCAGGGCAGGGCCCCCCCAGCTGCCCCTCCCCGTCTGCCTCCCTCCTCCCTCCTCCTCCTCACCCGCCCCCCAGAGTAGAGGCCGTGTCTGTGCCCAGACTCGGTGCTTGTCGTAGGGGAATGTTGGGATGCTCGCACGTCAGAAAACGGTCTTTCTGGCTGCTCTGTGTAAAGCAGTCTCGGTGGCCCAGATGGAAGAGGCCCCTCCGCCCCTCACGTCAAGGCTCACCTGTGACGGCCCTGCCTCTCGGGACAGCTTTGGAATCTAAATCCAGATAGTTCTCGTTTCTAGCCTACTGTAAAAACGGTTTTTAAAAGCACTTAAGTCTCTGGCACAAGATCTTAAAATGACGCCCAGGGCCCCTCAGACCGGGCCGAAGGTGTCGGCAGATGCCTGGTCCGGCGGTCCGGGCGGCACTGACCACCCTTGTCTCGGGGACCCAGGTGGACGGGGCCAGCGCGGTTCTCCCAGTCTCTGCTTCCCTCGGCCCTTTCCGCAGCCCCCAGGTCTCCGTGGCCGTGTGGGGCCGGGAAGGTGCACTCCCCCCACACGCTCGACAGTGAGGCCCTTGGGTGGGGCCACCGGGACTCGGCACCTGCGCAGTGGATGCCCGCGTGAAGGCCCGGGCGGTTTCTCTGGGGCTCCTTGCTCTGCCCCCAGGGGTTATGTGGGCCCCCCTCGCGGTCCCGCCCTGGCTGGGCCTGGGTGCTGCTGTCCCACGCTGGGGGGGTGGCCATCTGGGGGGGTGCCCCTCACTCTCCTCTGCCTCCCTCGTGTGCCAGGACTGGCAGTTGGCCTAGACCCCCAGGGCTACGGGAACCCCGACTTCTGCTGGCTGTCCCTGCAGGACACCCTCATCTGGAGCTTTGCCGGGCCCATCGGGGCAGTTATAGTGGTGAGTGCCGGGGCCTTCCCAGAGCCGAGACTCTCAGGGACACAGGAGCCGAGGGCCCCCCAGGGTGTGTTGGGCAGAAGGGACGTTCTGGGCTGGCTGGTGCTACTGATGCCTCTGAGTGGCCAGGATAGGGCAGGAAAGGCTCCTCTCTGGCCATGGTGGCCAAACCACCAGCCGCTCCCGGACCTTGCCCTCAGATCTGTGGGTTCCGGGTTGCGTTTCATGTCTGCTGTGAGACCGTCCTGTGTCCACCCCCGGAGGGCCCCTCACGGGCAGGTGGGTGTGGTGGGCTGTGCCAGGCAGGGCTGGAGGGCTGCAGCCTGGCCACGGGTCAGCCTCGTGCCACAGCTAGTGCCCAAGGCCATCTCCCCAGCCACATGTCCTGGGATGCAGATGAAGAGCCTCAGACGCTTTTGGTGGAGACTCTGATTTTTTGTTTTGTTCTTTTCAGATCAACACAGTAATCTTTGTCATGTCTGCAAGGGTGTCCTGCCAAAGAAAGCACCATTACTACGAAAGAAAAGGCGTCGTGTGAGTTGGGGCTGAATGATGATGAGTGGGTGGACAGGTGGTTGGATGGAGGGCCAGGTGGATGGATGTCTGGGTGGACAGACAGGGATGGGGGGACAGGTGGGTGATGGCTGGGTAAATAGACAGGTGCTTGTATGGAGGGACAGGTGGATGGATGTCTGGGTGGACAGACAGGGATGGAGGGACAACAGGTGCTTGTATGGAGGGACAGGTGGATGGATGTCTGGGTGGACAGATAGAGGGATGGAGGGACAGGTGGGTGATGGCTGGGTAGATAGGTGGGTGGATGGAGGGACAGGTAGACAGGTGGCTGGGTGGATAGACAGGTGGGTAGCTGGGTAGATGGACAGAGGCACGGGTGGACAGACGGACTAATGGATGGACAGTTGGAGGCGGGAGGGAGGGAGGAGGGCTGTGCTCATCCCCCCTCCCCGCAGCCCCCTGCTGAGGACGGCCTTCCTCCTGCTGCTGCTGGTCAGCGCCACCTGGCTCCTGGGGCTGCTGGCCGTGAACGGCGACACGCTGGCCTTTCACTACCTCTTCGCCGTCTTCAGCTGCTTGCAGGTAGGCGCCGGGGAGCTGCCCGGCGGGGCCGCTGCGTGGGCAGCCCTGGCGATAAAACGGGCCGCCCTGTGGCTGCTGTTCTAGCAGAGCCCTGAAACAAGGAGGGGCTTGTGGCGAGCTGTCCCCAACCTTACTGCCAGGACGGAGACCTGGGGTCCCAGGCCTGCTGCCAGGCCCAGCACAAGCCCCGCCTGGTCCCCAGGGAGGAGGAGTGGCCATCGATGGGTCACCCCAAGGCTGCCCAGCAGATTGATTCAGGACATGCTGGGGACCCCAGGTGGGCCCAGGACTGTCCCCGGGGAGGCCTGGCGCGAGCCAGGCTCGCAATGGGCACTCGCAGCCCCTGGCACGGCTGGGCTGGGCCGGGCACCTGCAGGCAGGCGGCACCGGCCACCGACGCCTGGGCTGACCCTGCGCCATCCCGCCAGGGCCTGTTCGTCCTCCTCTTCCACTGCGTGCTCAACAGGGAGGTCCGGAGGCACCTGAGGGGGGTGCTCTCTGGGAAGAAGCCGCACCCGGACGACTCGGCCACCACCAGGGCCACCCTGCTGACGGTAGGAGCCGACGGGGACCCGAGGCCTGGGGGCTGGGTGGCACTGCTCACGGTGGGAGCTGAGGGCTTTGCAGCCGGGCCTCAGACCCAGCCCCGTGGCCTTCGTGCCGGGGCACTGTGGCGCTGCTGCCCTCACTGCAGAACCGGGGCGACGGGCAGGATGGGACAGATGGGGCCTCAGTCAAATCCCAGCCCCACTTTTAAGGTCAGGAGGTCAAAGGCCAGGGTTCAGGGCCCTTTGCAGGGAAGGTTTGCTGCTCCGCCAGGCAGGGTCCAGCCAGGGCGCTGGGGGGCTTCCCCGTGGGGACGGAGCCACCGTCTGCGGCGGTCAGCGGTGGCCTCTGCCCCGAGATAACCGCCCGCCCCTCCCCCAGCGCTCGCTCAACTGCAACAACACGTGCGGCGAGGGCCCCGACATGCTGCGCACGGCGCTGGGCGAGTCCACCGCCTCGTTGGACAGCACCGTCAGGTCAGCGCCCTCCCTGTCGCCCGGGGTGGGGGGAGTTCTCGGGCCACGGCTGCGTCAGCGCTGCCTAGCCTGTGGGGGCCCCGCTGCGTCCTGCCGCTCTAGGGGACACGTCCCCTGTGCGCTCGGAGGCCCCGTTTTGTCGGCTGTCGTTTACCGGAACAAGGATGGGGGTGAGAATCTTCCAGAACGTCCTCCAGCGGCGTGGGTGGCCGCGTCACCTGTCCCTCTGAGGAGGGTGCTGAGCCGGCCCTCCCGTCCTCTCCAGGGACGAAGGGGTCCAGAAGCTCAGCGTGTGCTCGGGGCTGGCGCGCGGCGGCCACGGGGAACCGGACGCGCCCTTCGTGCCCAGGAGCTCCAGGAAAACGCAGGGTACAGCTCCCCGGGGACAGGGCGCCCGGGCTTGGTCTTGTTTGTGCCACGTCCCCTCGACCAAGCGTCAGCAGGGACCCAGCTACCCCTGCGTGCCCCGTCCCTGGTGGTCCCCTCGCCCCTGGTGGTCCCCCCGCCCCAGGGCCTGAGCCTCCCCGCCTCCCCCAACGGCCCCTGCAGGCCACGACTCGGACTCGGACAGCGAGCTGTCCCTGGACGAGCAAAGCAGCTCCTACGCCTCCTCACACTCGTCGGACAGCGAGGATGACGGGGCGGAAGCTGAGGACAAGTGGGACCCGGCCCGGGGCCCCATCCACAGCACCCCCAAAGGTGAGTGAGCGTGGCCCAGCCAGCCAGGCGGGGCTGGGGACAGCAGGCCACGGGGCTGGCCTTGGCCATGGCCGGGGCCCCTGCTTTCCCGGACCTGCCCAGCAGAGCAGTGGCCACGCGGGGCGGGGGGCGGGGGTGTCCAGCCTGGGTGGGAGGCTCTGGCCCCTGGAGGCCCCCACGCCACCCTCAGAGCAGAGGCAGTGGAGTCTCGGGGCCTCTTTGGAGCTTCGGTGCACGGAGCAGGCGAAGCTGCTGGAGGGCAGCGTGCGTGGCTCCCAGGTGTTGGGGTGCAGTGGGGGGCAGGCTGCAGGCCCCCACTGTCGGGACTTTCCCTTTCTGGCTGCCTTTCGGGTCGGGGCCACTCAGGAGCCCCAGGTGGGTGACTTTCCGGGGTGCAGCTTCTAGCTGGCGGCGCCCGGCTGCCTGCTGAGTGCTGCTGTCCTGCCTCAGGGGACTTGGCGGCCAACCACGTCCCGGCCGGCTGGCCCGACGAGAGCCTGGCGGGCAGCGACAGCGAGGGCCCGGGCGGCCAGCCCCGCCTGAAGGTGGAGACCAGGGTCAGCGTGGAGCTGCACCGGGAGGAGCAGGGCGACCCCCGCGGGGACCGCGCCCCAGACCCGGACAGCACGGGCCCGGCCAGGCCTGCGCAGCAGCCCCCGGAGCAGAGGAAAGGTGTGGGGGCGCCCACGGAGGGCCGGGCCTGGTCTCCGGGGTGGGGCGGGGACAGGCCGGACGTGGCCACCCTGGGCCCAGTTACCCAGGCCTTGGGAACCAGGCGCCCCGGCACGCAGGGACGACCCTCTGACAGCAGCCCGCCGTGTCCCCTTCCTCCCAGGCATCCTGAAAAACAAAGTCACCTACCCGCCGCCGCTGACGGAGCAGACGCTGAAGGGCCGGCTCCGGGACAAGCTGGCCGACTGCGAGCAGAGCCCCGCGTCCTCGCGCACGTCCTCCCTGGGCTCGGGTGGCCCCGACTGTGCCATCACCGTCAAGAACCCGCGGAGGGAGCCCGGGCGCGAGCACCTCAATGGGGTGGCCATGAACGTGTGCACCGGGAGCGCGCAGGCGGACGGCTCCGACTCCGAGTGAGTAGGCTCAGCCCCCTGGGGACAGAGGGGACAGTGGCCAGCGGCCTGGCACCCACGTCGCCCGATCCCTGAGCACAGAGGAGGCCCAGGCAGGGGCCGAGGGTCAGGAAGAGCCTCCCGGGGTGGGGCAGACTGCGGGGCCGCGTGGGCCTGGGGGCCGCGTGGGCCTGGGGGCCGCGTGGGCCGGGCCTCTGGAGTCCTGACCGGGGCCGAATGCCAGGACTTGCGGTGTGCCGGGCTCGGTGTTCCGTGAACATCGTCTCCTGGCCGGGCTCGTCCCCACCGTTCTCTGGCCAAGGAGACCGAGCTCACAGAGGAGCCCAGCGGCAGCAGCGTGGAGCTGGGGTCCCTGCTCCAGACCTCTGCCCGGCGCTCCTCCCTCCTACAACTTCCAAGGGAGGAGTGAAGCCCTGGAGCCAGGTCTCTCACGGTGGCTTTCCTAAAAATCCGCTTAACGGTGTGAGTTTGGCTGGGCGTAGTGGCTCAAGCCTATAATCCCAGCACTCTGGGAGGGTCGCTTGAGCCCAAGAGTTCGAGGCTGCAGTGAGCTGTGACGACACCACCCACTGCACCCTAGCCCGGGCAATAGAGCCAGACCCTGTCTCAGAAAAAAAAAAAGATGTGAGTTTGGTTTCTAACCTTGACGTTCTGTGTTCTGCCATGAGGCCAGCGGCACAGACGCGTGGGTAGGGCCGGGTGTCAGGGCTGGGGGCCATCCCGGCCCCTCCCTGCCTCCCAGGCCAGCTGTGCCCAGCCTGAGCTTGCCTTCCCTGGAGCCCCGGGTGCCCTCTCTCCCTGAGCGGGGGGATTCTGCCCCTGCGTGACCTCGGACCCGCCCGGCTGCCATCCTCACTGACCTTCCGCCCGCCTGACGGCTTCTTCCCACGTGCAGAGGCAGTAACGAAACTTCAATTTGAACCATCAGGAAACCGTGAGGCGAGCCCGTCACCTGCATGTCGGCTGCTGTGTCGTCCAGCCCTGGGACCTTGGAGCCCGAGGGACCACTGCCCGTGGAGTGAAGCAGGCCCTGGGTGTGCGGGGTCCCCACAGGGGCCACCCCACAACCCACAGTCCAGACAGAAGGCCCTCAGCTCTCCCAGGGCTCAGGACTAGTCAGACCCGTGACAAGTGCCAAAGCCCGCAGGCGAGAGGGAGGCGTGGACCGCTGGGCCGCGCTGCTTGGTCCCAGACTGCAGACAGAGCCAGAACCGTGCTGCCGGCCCGCCGGGAGCCCCGAGGCTTGCCACGGCGCGAGGATGCCGGGCACAGACCAAAGACCGAGGTCTGGCCGCCCGCGTGGGCGTCTCCCTGCAGTCCGGGCACGCGGCCAGCAGCCTGGACAGCCCTTCGAGAAGGCGCCCTTGTCTTAAAGCAGCTTACTTTGCTGTGTTGAAAGGTGTAGATACTTTTGTATATTTGTACGGGACTCTGAGAAGGTGGAAAACCTATGTATATTTTGCAACAAGTACTGACTTTGTGAATACTGAGAGACCAGTGGAATGATCTCTCGACTATTTTTTACGTAAGGAAGATTGCACAGTTGTACTTGAATCTGCAACGGGTGAAAAGAACGGCCGCCCGGCAAAAAAAAAGGGGAAAAAAACGCCCCCGGGAAGGTTAAAACAAAGAAGTAAAAAGTCCCGCAACCGCCCTCCGCCAAGAAGGGAAGAACCCCCGGCAAGAACCCCCGAACCCAACCCCCCGGGCCGTTGCCGGTGCCCACCACCGCCCCCAACCGCCCGCCGCCCCCAACGGCCGAACAGGAAAAGGCAAGCCGGGCCCCGCAAGCCGGAAAAACCCCGCCGGGGGCCGCCGGGAAAGCAAGCCCCCCAAGGCCCGAACCGCAACCCCCGGCAACCCCCGAACCCCAACCCCAACCCCCCCCCCCAAGCCCCGCCGGAGGCCCCGCCCCCCGGCCGGAACCCCTCCCAAGGGGCAAGGGAACGCAAGGGGGGGAATTCCTTGGCCCCGGGCCCCTGCCCCCCGGTAGATCTGAAAGCGTTCACACGTTCCCGATTCAGACGGAGGCACGAGGGCTTCCCGGGGTCGCGTTCTTTCCTGCCAATTTTCTGGCGCTCTGAGACTCCAAGGATCCCTGGGCAGGCTGGGGTCCCACCCCCCGAGTCTGACCAATTACTTCATTTTGCTTCAAACGGCCGATTGTGCGGAGGGACAAAGCCGCAGCCGCACTTTTCAATGGTTACCAAAGTGTTTTTGGAAACTCACACCAAGCGCCGGCTGCGACCGTCCTGCTGTGGGCAGTTGGCACGGCGTGGCCCGGGGGGCTGTGGAACGGGGCCCGGGACCATTCAGGCACGTTCTGTTTCAGCGTTTCCTTTGTTCTTCAGCAAGTAAATGCTCAGCACAGCTGCTTCCAAATATGGGAAGCCATAAAATAGGACGAAAATCAAGTGAGATGCAGAGATTTCCGCAAGTCTTAAATTTTAAATTTTACTCAGACGAAAACGTGAGCATTGTTAACAAAATGACTCCACGAGAGAGGGAAGGCAGCTCTGAAAACAGTCCGAGGAGGATGAAATGAGATCCCGGAGTCCTCGGCCCCGCGTGAATTATTAACACAAATGTGCCTTAGCAGGTGAACGACACAAAGCCACCGTCTTGGCGAACGCCCGCCGCTCGAGGGGCGTTTCCTGAGTACGGAAAGGTTTTTTGCTGTTTGTAAGTCTTTGAACACTCAGCTTTCATGTGGCCACTTACTGTTCTGCAACTGGATTTCACCCCTTGAGGTGTCGTTTTCAATCTGATCAGAACTGTTACCAAAAAAACAATTGTCAAGTTTTATTAAGAAAAATGTAAACCTATTTTTATTACTTAAGACTTTATGAAAGAGATTAGACACTGGAGGTTTTTAACAAATGTATATTTATTAATGTTCAGAACACTGGAATTACAACACAAATGAGAAGAGTCTACAATAAATTAAGATTTTTTTGAATTTGTATTTCTGCTGTGCGGGTTTTTCTCCCTCCCCGCCCTCCCACCCTAGCTAAGGGAGCCGTGGACGGGACCGTTCATGGGATGGAGAGACGGGCTGGTGGAGTTTCCTGCTGGAATGTTCTGTCCACTGCCCTGCAGGCCTGCCACAACTGAATGGCACTGTTTGGGTTTCCTGGGGCTCTTGAATGTGTAAATGAGTGTCTCGTCAACTTAGAGAAATTTGTAGCTATTATTTCTTCCACTTTCTTTTTTTTTTTTAGACAGTCTCACTCTGTTGCCCAGGGTAGAGTACCGTGGCATCAGCCTAGCTCACAGCAACCTCAAACTCCTGGGCTCAAGCGATCCTTCTGCCTCAGCCTCCCGAGTAGCTGGGACCACAGGCATGCGCCACCAGGCCCGGATAATTTTTTCTACATATGTTTTTTAGTTGGCCAATTAATTTCTTTCTATTTTTAGTAGAGATGGGGTCTCGCTCTTACTCAGGCTGGTTTCGAACTCCTGACCTTGAGCTATCCGCCTGCCTCGGCCTCCCAGAGTACTAGGATTACAGGCGTGAGCCACCGCGCCCGGCCTGTTTCTTCCACTTTCTTCCCTGCAGCAGCCTCTTTCTCCTGCAGCTCCCGTGAGCATGCTATAGACCTTCCTGTGTTGTCACACGGGTCCCTGAGGCTCTTCGTCTTTTCCGTTCCTTTTTCTCTCTCTCCTTCAGACTTGATCGTTTCTGCTGATCCATCCTTAAGTTCACTCATTTTCCCCCCTGTCATCCCCATTTTGCTACTGAGCTCGTTCGGTGAATTTCTTATTTCATATGTTGTAATTTTACATTTTGACATTTCCATTTGGTTCCCTTCTTATACTTTCTATTTCTCTGCTGGGGACTTAGGGTTTTCTGTTCACTCCAAGAGCATTTCCCTTGACCTCATAGAGCGAGGTTAGAACTAAGGCTGCTGAAAATCCTGTTCAAATCCTAAAAATGTGAACATCTGGGCCATGCTGGGGCCGAAACTGCCTTTTCTCTTGGCGTTTCCCTGGTTCACTGCGTGCTCAGTGGTTTCAACTGAAGCCTCGTCATTTGCAATGCCGTGCGCCTCTGGGCCTGTGTTGCAGCCCTCACTTTAAACGTGACTTTGTTTCCACAGCGAGCAGCCCAGTTAGGTCCCACCGCCAGCCCCGCGTCACCTCCTGTGGGCACGGGCAGGCCCAAGCCTTTGCCACACATCCCCAAGCGGGGACTTGGCCAGACGTGTGGGGACCTAGGGTCTGCTTCCTCAGCTCCCCCCTTCTGGGGTCTGCCTCACTCTAACTCCTGGGGCTCCTTTTCACGTTCCTCGGTCAGGAAGGCAGGTTTCTCCCAGAGTTGCAGCCCCCACCCAGGGAAAAGCAGTGAAGGCAGAGAGAGGAAAATAATGGGGAGCCCCAGCAGTCCTCAGCCCACAGCGCCCTTTTTCCGTGTCCCTTTTGGAGTCCTTGCCCCGGTGGCTGCATAGCACCCGGGTCCAGGCTGAGAGAGGAAAGAGAAAAGCAACCCACGAACCCCCAAATCCAAAGGCATTTTTCGAGTGCCGCTTCCTCCTCAGCATACCTGCTAACGTCTACTTTCCTGTGCTCAGTAGTGGACGTGACAGAGAATATACCTATCTCAACCCAAAAGCCAGGATTAACAAGGAAAAACTAGAAATATTTGAGAAAGCGAATGCAGCCGAGCTGGGAGCGAGCCTGGCGCAGCAGCCAGGCCTGGTGTCCACCCCAGGGCTGCAGCCACTTCACAGAGACCAGGAGCAGACCACAGGGGCAGGACGAGCAAGCCCCCTCCATGATCATGGCTGAGCACAGATGACAGCGTGAACATCACCCAAGCCACGGAACATCCAAACTGGCCCAGCCAGGCGTGGCCCTTACCAGTCACCAGTCTTGGCTTTAGCCTGGCTCCAGACTCCGCCCTGGACGCAGGTTTGTGAAGACCCCCAGGGAGGGAGGCGGTGGCCGGGAGTGGGAAGGCTGCTGGGGCACAGGCAGCGCTGGGGCCGGGGGCCGAGGGCAGACAGCAGGCTGAGGGTGTCCGAAAGACACCGGCTAGGGCCTGGGGAAGGAGCCACCCCAGTGCGAGGTGAGGGATCCGCATCTCACTGGGATCACTCCAGAAATAACGTGGGGAGGAGAGAACAACAGTGAGGGTGACGGTCCCATTGATGTCATGAGCAGGGAGAAGGAAGGTGTAGACAAGCATCCGGCTCTGGGCCCAGACTACGCTGTTTTCATTTCCTGCTCCCACCTTTTTTATTTTTGAGACAGGGTCTCCCTTTGTGGCCTGGGCTACAGTGCAGTGGTGTCATCATAGCTCACTGTAACAAACTCCTGGGCTGAGGTGATCCTCCTGCCTCAGCCTACAGAGTAGCTGGGACTACAGGCACATGTCCCTGTGCCTGGCTGGTTGTTTTTTCTACTTTACTAGAGATGGGGGTCTTGCTCCTGCTCAGGATGGTCTTGAACCCTTGGCCTCACACAATCCTCCCGCCTCGGTCTCCCTGAGTATTGGGATTACAGGCCTGAGCCACGGTGCCTGGCCACCCTTCTCTTGATCCATAGTTGAGACAGGTGGCTGGGGCCTGGTCACTAGGGGTGCCGTGGAGGGAAGAGGGTTACTTCCCTGCCCTGTCCCTCTGGCCTGCCCAGGTCTTCTGAAGGTCACCTGAGGGGTACAGCCAGGAGTCTACTGGCCCCCAGGTGCTTGTGGAGGGCCGGGGGAGGCCAGAAAGTCCAGCCATGGACTTGGCCCAATGGCACACCCTGGCCAACAGCTTCTGCTAATCTCTGTGGCATTGCCCCAAGAGCCCTCCAGAGTTGGCTGGTGGCCTCAAGGGGGCATGGCTGACAGTGGTGCCCACTGCAGAGAGGGGAGCCTTGCTGGTTGGGAGGCAGACGTGTGCCCCCTCCTCCTCCACTGGCCGACGCGCAGGCCCTGAGGCTGGCAGTGTGGCAGTGCCAGCAGGGGCCACACAGGGCAGCCTCATGTTTGGCCCGCCTGGGATCCACGCCGACTTCTGCCTAGCCACCCTAATCCCTCCTGCTCACGTTTCTGCCACTTGGGAGGGTCAGCTTAGGGCAGCACAGGGTGGGCACCAAGGGGGCTCTCCCGACCTCAGTTCCCAGGCATGGGGTCCAACCAGCCATGGCAGTTAAGTCAGGGGAACTTGAGCCCAGGGAGTCTGTGCTGAGCTTCGAGCTTGTGGAACAAAGGTGGCCCTTCAGCCCAGCCACCATGCCAAGCTGGGCCAAGGGTCCTTCAGGGCCCGTCTGGTCCCACTGGCCAGCACTTGTCTGCACGGTGGAGCTGGGCCTGCCTCCAGGCCTGGGCAGCATAGGCCTTTCCAGGCTCTTCCTGGTCTCACCAGTGAGGGTTGCTGTGCTCCCGGGACACTCCCTGCCAGGTGGAACCTTGGCTAAAAGGAAGAGTGTGCAGGGACAGGGGGATTGCCAAGGCTGGGAGATGGGAGAGGGCAGGCAGGGGCTGGGGCCGACCCCCAGGACAGGGAGGAGATGCTAACCAGGGTCTGCAGGCACACAGGGACAAGCACACCTGTGTACACGAGCTCCAGGGC